AACACATCATAACATAGCACAGTATAACAACATAACATAACACATCACATTATAATGCAACATAATATATTGTATTATATTATGTTCTGTTGTCCTGTGTTCTGTTGTGTTTTAATTTTTTCATGTTATGATGTATTCTATTATATTAGGTTGTGTTATGTGATCTGATATAGTATCATGTGTTATGTTATGTTGTGTTACAATGTGTTGTATCATGTTTGATTGTGTTATAATTTTTGATGCTATATTATGATGTGCTATAATGTGCTGGGTTGAGTTATGTCTTATAATGGGTTTTATTAGGATATGTTGTGGTATAATTTGTTTTGTTGTTCTAAGTTATGTTATGATTTATAGTGTTATATCATGATTAGTTATGTTATAATGTATTGTGTCATGTCATTACAATGTGTCATGCTATTTTATTTATGTTATGTTGTGTTACAGTGCATTGAGTTATGTAATGTTGTTACATTATGTTGTGTTGTAATATGTTGTGCTATGATATTGTTTGTTATAATATGTTATGTTATAATATAATGTCATGTTAGGGTGTGTTATAATGTGTTGTATAGTGATACGTTGTGATGAGTGCAGTGCTGTTGTGCAGTGATATTTTGTGTTGCAATGTGTTGTGTTGTTAATACCATATTGTTAGTGTTACCATATTTTGTGTTATTTGCTTGTGTTGATCATTAAGCATCGGCCACTTTGATTGCAGAGAGCGCTCATAAGTGTTGATCATTGGGCATCAGCTAAACTGACCGTAAATCGCGTGTGCTTGTGTCGATCATTAGGCATCGGCCACTTTGATTGCAAAGAGCACGCATCAAGTGTTGATCATTGGGCATCAGCTAAACCGATCGTAAATCGCGTGCGCTTGTGTCGTTCATTAGGCAACGGCCACTTTGATTGCAGAGAGCGTGCTTCTGTGTTGATCATTGGGCATCAGCTAAACTGATCGTAAATCGCGCACGCTGGTGTTGATCATTAGGCATCTTCCACTTTGATCGCAAAGAGCGTGCATCAGTATTGATCATTGGGCATCGGCTAAAATGATCGTAAATCGCGTGCGCTTGTGTCGATCATTTGGCATCGGCCACTTTGATCGCAGAGAGCGCGCATCAGTGTTGATCATTGGGCATCGGCTATATAGATCATAAAGCACTTGTGTTTGTGACGATCGCCAGGCATCAATCATAAAGTACGTGTGCCTGTGTCAAACATGCAGCATTGGCGAGGGTTACACTTCCGTTTTTAGCAAGCATATTGGCAACTTTCTTCCCTGGCACACTGGCGTACATCCAAAAACGAACCTCCAGTGTACACGCTGCATCTTCCTGACCATGGCCACTATGTAGGGTAAACGCAGTATATTCCGACACATTAAGGATGCATCAAGAAATGAAAAACTATAAAAAAAACGTATGCGTTATGTGAGTTCTGTATTCCGACACATTAAGGATGCATCAAGAAATGAAAAACTATAAAAAAAACTGTATGCGTTACTCGAGTTCTGTTTGCTTTACGTGACTCTCAAAACACCGCACAATGCACCACGGCACCAGCAACAATGAAACGTCACAAAATGTTGCCATATTTATTTAAAAGCCTTTAGAATGCAAACCTACCAAATCCCTATATTCCGACACTGTGTGTGACTATATTTGGCATGTGGTGAGACGTATTCCGACCACGCTTCAAATTGTACTAATATACGTAATTCCAACATCCACGTGTTCAAATTCCGATCGCTGTGTGAGCTGTATTGGAATACGACACGGCTTTGAATTAGAACACTATTGAATATTGAGCACTACTTAATTAGGCTTTTAATTAACAGTTATTAAGCTTTTAATTAAGAAAATTTTAATTTTTGCACACAGCTTGGAACGAGCTGAGTGTCCAATTCAAGTTGTGTCAGAATTAGTTTTTATGTGTCTAAATCCATTTCTCAACTTAATCATCTATTAATTTATTTACCACTTGAAATCAGCAAATACAAGTATACTTGAAGGATTCCTAATATATTCACAGACGTATTTTAGAGTCTCAAACCATAATATTCTTTCTACACAAACAGTTTATCACTATTTGGTAGAGCAAGGTCAACTGTCAACTTTGACACATTTTTCGATGATCTCATTGGGTGGCATGCACCGTCTCTCTTTGGATCTCAACATTCTCCTGCTAGATGGCCCAGCCCTAGAGTTTTGGCAGTAGTTTGACGCGCAAATGTATGACGTCACTATTTTAACTTTAAACGAACGCATGGAACTAAAACAAAGCTTAATATAAAGGAAAAAATAGAGAGGTGTCACCGTGTCGGAATTACCCACGATGTTGGAATATACCGCGTTTACCCTATGTTCAGTCTTAAAATGCCTAGCAAATTACGGACCAGGCGTCAGGCATTAAGTCCAGCAGCTATCTCAATCAATTGTCAGTTATGGAAAGATCGGGTTCCAAAGGCCGGGTCCCTCGTGAATCAAGTCACGAAAATTTCTAGAATCGGCAACAGGCCATAGGCCTATTTCCTCAGTGCCGACATTTCTATTCTATTCTATTCTTTAAGTGGTGGCCCAGTGGTTAAAGTTCAGCATATCAAGATTGGCGCAGAGAGGCGTGGGTTTGATCCCAGGCCAGCTCTGTGTGCCAGTTTTTGGTCAGAATCAGTAAGGAGGCCGGGCGGTTAAGCAAAGCAGAATTTGAGCAGCAAGTTGCGAGTTCAAGACCACAAAAATGCTGTGAATGTTCTGCGATGTTAAGAATCGGCAACATGTTACAGGCCTATGGCCTAATAAATGCTGAAACCGCTATTATTATTATTGTATTTTTTTCTTGAAACCCTGGCCACATCATTAAACAACTTGTCAATATGATTTTTGTTGTTTTTTTCCCCATTTGCATTTATCTTTACATATACTATGAACTGTGTCAAGTGTATATTTTGTGTCCCAAGTCCAATCAGTTAGGATTTCTGCATAGTTTTGACTTGAGGTTTGGAATTTGGTATAGGTAATATAACTTAAAGTATTTACTATCAACATCAATATTATTTTGACTTTATTTATGCTGTTGCTATTTGCTGTGCAAACTTGTTCTATTCATATTAGCCCATATTTCATTGCTGTTCCTCTATTGAAAAAAATATAAATAAATTATATTTATTTTTCTTTAACTAATTGCTCTATTATATTTTTTATTTATATTAGCATTTATTTCATTTTTTGTATACCTAACTTTGTAAGTTGCTACTTGCTACTACTTGTGAATTGTGATTGAAGGTAATAAATGCATAATGATAATGGCAGAGTCAGAGTCTGACATGCCTAACAGTGATGATAAGAACATTGTCCTGGAAACTCCAACATAAGATCCTGCTGGCCCTCTCGTGCAATCTGGACTCCAAGCATCTTCAGATGAAAACCTGACTGGAAATCGACCCAAGCCTAAGGTGATAGCAAACAATGGAACAACTAGGTCAAGCATGGACATACAAGAAGGGTCCCCTAATACTAGAAGGCACAAATGGCAGATTGGTATGGAATCTGAACAAGAATCAAACAGCTTGATCCAACCAACAGCTACTCCTGCTAATGCTAACACCAATAAAGCTCTTAGATAATCTGCCAAACGAACACAATATAAATCATTTCCAACCAATGCAACTGACAAATCATCTGGAAACAACAACAAGGTGATAATCAAACTGTCTCCAGACACAAGAAAGATCTCACGGTGATTAATGTAATGGCAATATCATATCAATAAAGGAAAAACAAGTAAAAATCACAGAAAATGTCATTTATTCTACCTCTACATCATCTACAATGGAAGAGGAGGACTTCAGAGTACTGTTAGTAATGAATGAGTACGCTCTGCATGCTTCAAATATTTTAAAATGAAGTTTTATTCCCAGTGTCCCGAGTAGCCCCGTTCGACGTGGCTACTCGGGACACTTTTTTTGCTTCTGGCACCTTATGAATAGCATGTGGAATTTTTTTGAAGATGCCATTTGATAGCCCTTGCAAAGAGCTATAAAATGAGCCTAAACTTGTTAATGAAATGTTTCATCGTAAGAAGTTATTAACAAAAAACGCTCAAAACCGTCCCGAGTAGCCCCGGTTGGCGGTACCATTTAAAATACTTATGTACTGAAAACAATATCAGGAAGATGGTGTTTGTTAGCTGCATCACACTGTTGGAGTTGTTCTTGGAAGTTTCCTACAGCACGTTCACATATATGGCAAGGTATGGCCATAACCTCTGCTGCAATAATCCGTTCCCTTAGCTGTGGTAGGGTGTGAGCGCTGTGAGGGAATAGCTTTTTGCTCCATGTATTTGTGTTGCCATTCCTTCTCTCATGCATTTCTCCCTAATCCCTTCTCGTTCCAGATCATCAATTATGATAAATAGCCTATGCACAGATTGTTTTCTAGATTGTTGCATGGTTATGTGATTTCAGCATGTTATATGGATCACCAGTTTCATTGGTCTCAGTTGCCTAACAGTGCACAAATGAGCAGTGATTGGTAATTGGCAATAGTAATTGTTCTTCCAACTGCATTGATGTCTTGTGCACTCGCTGCTTTGACTGTGATGCTGGAGGACCGGTGATCTCTTGTGCAATGTATTTCAGTGGTTCCCTGTTGAGCCAGAATTGGAAATCTGAGGTCGGGAGAATAAGCAACCTTTGTGATTGTTCTCAACTGTGCTGAAAATTCACCTCTTTGCCACCTTTCACCTTTGCAACTGATTGCTATTTTTATCTTGCTAAGTGTTTAGTCCAAGCAAATGCAAGTGTTTATTCTTGGTGCATTGTCAGTTAATCACAAGTTATACAAGCTGTGAACTGGTGAACCCAGAACCTTACCCTTTCTTCAGCCGTGAGAACGGACAGGATACCAAGAAGAGAAGAGTCCTTTGCTCAAGGACTGGCCGTGGATCCTGGAAGTCTCTGGAACATGCAAACTGTTTAGTGAGCCTTTTGTTGTATAGGATTTTCACTGTTCCCTTTATAACGTTTTACTGATCATCAATATATTATAGGGTTTTAGGGTTCTTGCAATTTCTTTATTTATTGTGTTTCATCCATTCTCATTCCCGTGTATCACCCATTACACTAACCCCTCATCATCATGTATCTCATTCAATTGTAAAATATGTGTGCACTTGTTTTAGAGTTCATTTAGCTGGATTGGTATTGTGTTTCATTGTCCTGCTGTTAGGTTGGTTCAACTAGTTTTCCGCAAGATAAAAGCCAATTTTTTTTTTTTTTTGTACGAGCAATAGTTTTTTAAAAGCCAATACTATATTGGTCTTACCGGACCTTTAGAGCTCGAATGTTAGTAGTGCCCCTAACAGCGCAACTTCTGAACACCCTCTCTTTTAGATGTCCTCAAATCAGGTGACCTCGCAGGCCACTGTAAATCACTCTTCAGAGACACCAGACGTCCGGGAAACATGCGTTTCAAAACATTGAGTGACATTGGGGCCGTGTGAGCTGTAGCACCATCCTGCTGGAACCACACATCTCCCAATGCTTCATTTTCTACAATGTTTTCCATCCTGGGCTGCAAGAAATTTTGCAACATTGCAGCATAGCATTTGGAATTCACCGTTACGATTACTCCCTCCTCCGAGAACGACTCCAACAGTGTGTTACAGCTAATGGCCACCATCTTCCAGATATTGTTTTCAAAACATAAGTATTATAAATGGTATGTTATGCTAACCTCAATTAAAATAAACTTTGTTCTTTATGTGCCTCCATTACTCTTTTATTTTGCCTCAAACTGCTCAATCGGTTCTACCCCACCCTGTATATTGAGAGGTTGAGATTGGATTGACCTCTTAGGCAATTAGAAAGATTTTCCACCCTAATATGAATATTCTAATTATAATATTTAATTTCAATCTTTGAATATGTGAATTTAAAACTAGCAACAAAACAATTACAATTATAAGACTACATATAAAATAATTAAATGCACTGAATGGATATAAAATATTTGAATTGTGCACATGTTTATTTCAAACAGTGTAAGCTTTTCTCATAACTTAAGTCTCGTTTCAAGTTGTTTGAGGTTTGTTTGATACTTATCTGGTCTACTTGTGGGACTAGCATCTGCTTTACCATCATGCATGGCAGTGGTCAGTACCCAAACTGGAAAAATTGGCAGAATCTATGAGCTATGTGTGAATCATTGAATGAATCAAAAACACTTGTGCCTCAAACATTCTGCCCATTCTAACACCCCTTGCATGTAGACTAAATAAATAATTATATACCGTAGGTATGTTTATAACCAAATGTATTTTTTCAGATTTGATGCAGAGGTTGACTTGTATACATCTTGCCATACCAGAGCATGGCTTACAAAGTCAGGTACGAAAACTGAATAAAAGTTATTGTAATACAATTTTTTAGTACCTATATATGTACAAGTTCTCTAATTGCATCTTGTTTCTAAGGTTGAAAATTTTAGAGTAGAATTAACTTTGATGATTTCTCTTTGAATTATATAAGTTAGGATTTTAGTGTAGGTACGGTACGTACCTAAATGATGGATTCAGAAGAGAGAAAGAAATTAGCATCTGAATATATCATTAACATCAATTTCATCATAAATGTGTGATTCTACCCTATTGATGAAAAGATCTAAATATTTTAGATCTAAATATTTTTAGTGTTTTAAGCAATGACTCATGTTTCAGTGCTTCTTAAAATGCTTGAGGATTTAATCCCTGCTCGGAAGTTTTTGGCAGCATGATCTTTGAAAACAATAAGTTCTAGAAGTGAATATAAATAACTTATTTGCCATGTTACCAACAATTTTTGCTTTAGAACCCTATGAAATTGGTAGAAGAAGCCAATTTTTATAGACATATAATAGGATTGAGATAAATTATTGTAACCTAAGGTTATGGCTGATGTGAAATATTCACTGCTCAAATGCCTTTTTTGTTTACATTCAGATTGGCAGAATTTGACAGCATTTTGCAGGCAGAGAAGATTGATCTAAGCAAGTTGCAGGAGCTCTGCTTTGCAGGTTGGTTTGGTGTCATGAATAATTCTGTGCTGCCATGTAATTCAGCCACAAAGTCCATTTACTGGAAGAAGGCTTATGATATTAGTGACAAGGCTGTCTAGAGTATGTAGAGTTAATTCTTGTTTGGTTCTTAGTAGTGTTAAATTTTGGCTGGAGGTTCCAATTAAATTAATACAAATGTATCTTTTCAGACTGATTACAATTACGTATGTCCAGAATTAAATAATAAATGTATAAGTGTATTAAATAATAAATGTATTTGGACATTGGTATTCAAACTATAATTAGGAAAATTCTTCATGAAAGGCATTGTTTTCTAAATGTTAATTTGTTGCAGGTATCCCAGATGACGGAGGCAGACGAGCGCTGTGTTGGCGTCTGCTGCTGCATTACTTGCCTCTGGACCGCTCCTGCTGGCTGCAATATCTTGCTGATAAACGCAAGCAGTACCACTCCTTTGTGGGTGAGGCCCTTGAGCTTCTACATGTAGTGTTTGTTCTTGTGGACAGAAACATCTTGTTAATAAACGCCAGCAGTATCACGCCCTGTGGGTGAGGCTCTTGAGCTTCTACATGTAGTGTTTGTTCTTGTGGACAGAAACATCTTGTTAATAAACGCAAGCAGTATCACGCCCTGTGGGTGAGGCTCTTGAGCTTCTACATGTAGAGTTTGTTCTTGTGGACTGAAACATCTTGTTAATAGACGCGAGCAGTATCACGCCCTGTGGTTGAGGCTCTTGAGCTTTTCCATGTACGTAGTGTTTGTTTTTGTGGACTCCAATTAAATCCTTGGTATAGGTATATATTTTTGATGAGAAATCTGATCTGTATTCTCCATTTGATAGACTAAGTCATGTAGGGTAGCATGGTTTGAACACACATTTAAATTTAAAAAATTTCCACTAGTTAAAATGGATTCATTGTCACAAAACCTTCAAATTCTACATTGCCTAATTTCTCAACATTGAAAATTTTAAGCTATTTATTTTGTCCTGTGTGCTATGTCACAAAATTTTTATAGATCCTTGTAAGGAAATATTTAAATATTAAGTATGTTAAAAACAATTGTTTGCAGATGACATAGTGGTTGGTGGGGGTATGAACAGCAGCACATCATCTTCGAGTGAAGCTCTGCACAACAGCCGCCCTTCAGATATCGGTGAGCTGGAGACATCAAGTGGCAGCATCTCCCGGCACAACAATAGCTTTGACACTCCCAGCATCGGCACTGATATTAACACCAACAAAACACCTTCATCTTTACCTGTGCACAAAAGGTCCTTCAGCAATACCAGTTCCATCACTAACAGCAGTAGCAGTAGCAACAGTCTTTGTAGTGATCATCCTCTCAACTTGAGCCCTGATTCACAGTGGGTTAGTTTTTTCAAAGACAATGAAGTATTGGGGCAGATTGACAAAGACGTTAAACGTCTGTGTCCTGACATGTGTTTCTTCCAGCGCGTTACTCCACATCCTCGTGCAGACACGCCGCGCTTATGTACACGAGTCACTCATACCCCTTTGCACTCAGCCCCTCTTCATGACAAACTTTCCTCTTCATACTCACGTCAGAGAGGATCTGGTACTCGCAAATCTCCATCCCCGCCTCCAGAACCTCTTCCTCCAGGGACCGAAGCACACTGGGAGGTTTTAGAGCGATTGCTCTTCATCTATGCAAAGCTCAACCCTGGGCAAGGATATGTGCAGGGCATGAACGAAATAATAGGACCATTGTATTATGTGCTAGCGACAGCACCGTCAGATGCTGAGCATGCAGAGGCCGACACTTTCTGGCTCTTCACATCTCTTATGGCCGATGTTAGAGATCTCTTCATACGAACGTTGGACGAGAGTGAGAGCGGCATTGGTCGCCTCATGACAAGACTTATGAGCTGCCTCAAGGACGAAGATGCCGCCACATCCTCCCAACTTACTTGTCAGGGAATCAAAGAACAGTATTTTGCCTTCCGATGGCTCTCCCTCCTCTTCTCGCAAGAATTCCCACTGCCTGATGTCATTCGCATGTGGGACTCTGTACTCGCTAGTCCTGATCGCCACAGGTGCCTTCTACTTCTTGCAACCGCCATGATTGTCCTTCAAAGAGAGAAACTCCTTTCTGGAGATTTCGCCAGTAACGTCAAACTCTTGCAAAATTATCCTCCTTGTGATGTTGGTGCTATTATCAGTAAGGCAGTTGAGCTCTCCGATCGTCTCGTAACCTGACTTGACGTTGACATTCTGGTGCAACCAAAGTTTTTTTCATCTCTCTGTGAACTTAATTCTGTAGTTGAGGCTGTATAGTTGCAATTATATCAATATATGTAACCTCAAACTGGTATGGTATGCCGAAGCGCTCAAAACTCCTACTTATATTAAATATAGTGAGAGTCCAAGAGTTATTACTGGAACTGGAAAGTAATAGATGTACATCGTATGAATTGAGAATTTGATGCAGAATTTGTGCCTCATGTACTAGCTTTTCAATTCAGCACACAAACTGGACGTATCCCTGCACATAACTCATCATGATGTACAGTAGTATTGTCTGTAAGAAAGCCTTCCCTAAGCCATTTCTCATTCATGCCTGGCATCATGGTTACATGCGCGTTATGTGTAAGACAGCATAACTGCTTACTCATTTCTCATCCATGTGTTACTTGTGCTACCATGGTTACATTATGTCTGATGAAACTATCAGCGCTCAGTGAAGCTTCTCTGTCACTACTCCTCAAACCTGGATGGAGACTTCTTACTATGACGCCATATTTATCTTCATATACAGAAGCTCACAACGGCAATTCGTGATGTAAGTTTGCAGGTCATGTGCTATTTTGATATATTTTTATTCCTCATTGTTTTGCGTTCTGATTGACTTAATGCGTGAGCAGAACCGTGATCAGCGCGTTCCGTTTTATTCGTAATTTTCATATAATTGATAGGTTTAGGATAGATTTTTCCAAGACGAAATTACTAACAATCAATGTTGATGCTCAATTTGTAAAAGTATACCTATATATATGTTACTTAGTTTATAGACTATACTGTTTTTCATATGTTTTGTTTCCACTAAGACGATGCATTTGCCGTGAGACTATTACTGCGATTTGTAAGAGCTGCAGATTCAGGTTTATATACGAAATTGACGACTTAGAGCCCGAGATGAAGCATACAAATTGTAATCCGTCAGCCTTGAACTATTCGTGGGTGCTCACTTCTTTCATTGTTCTTCAGATTAAGACTTTGTCATTCATATTTGTTTGAGGAGTACGATCAACAATTTTTCGAACGTTGCTTGTTAGTGGCTCTGGAACAATTAAGTGAATGTGAAGTCTTTACTATGTGCGTGCACTGTATCTTTATTATGTTTGGTAACCTGACTTGTATTGATCAATGAGCTGGATATCGATAGTCTTCACTATGTGACACTTATTAAGTTATTCTAGACTTTATAAATTTATATTCCAGACTCATATATACGTATCTATTATGCCCTTTTTTGTTGATGCGCTTTTCACGCTTTTTTTCTGGAAAGATTCATAAACACTTACTGGTATTTCAAAAGTAAAAAAATTCTCTTAGTGGTTCTGGCATTATTTGATTCATCAACTGGCGCTAAGTATTTTCAAATTTGTAACAGAATCGAGTATTGAAGTTAACAAATTTTAATTAAAATTCTTCGAATATTACAGCTATATACGCGCCTCTCATAACTAATTATTAATTTAAGTCTTTCATTTTTTAATTTATGAGGAAATTAAATCGTGAAAATTTTTTTCTGACTTGTCGGTAGTAGGCCTGTAACTGATCGTCTGAATTGCCCTTTAACCTACCGATATTGTTTGCGTTCTCGATGATCCCTGCATTATAGATGGTCTCGACTTCACTAAAAATACTTTTTTGGTGTGGTCGACCACTGTAGTCGCTTGCCAAATATTTGTGTCGCCATTTATTTTAGATCTCAACGTGCGATTTGTCTGCATTTAGATCTTTGTAGAATCATCAGCCATAAATCTCGACTTTATATTTGGCTTTATTTATTATACTTTAGTGTTTCTCGCATACTTGATTGTAATGTTATCTTCGTTTGTTTCCAATATATATCAGTATTCTAATATGACCAACGCTCAAATTGATTTATTTCTCGTTGACGATTAATTCTAATTGGGTTAGCAATGCAAGTGTATCTCATAGCTATGTTTTGATATATTACTGCAGCATTTATGGCCGCTTTATTCTTAATGTTTCCTGACTAATTAGGAGCTGTGGTTCCTAAACTGAAGATCAATTACTTTCTGGGGTAATTGATGAATCCCTCTGGGGAAATTCATAAATTATTCTATAGTAATAGTAAGGGTGACACCAAAAACAAGAAATACAGCACTAGAAAACTAAAAAAGGAGTGCAAGTTTGTGAAAAGGGATACTGTGCTTATTATGAGATGTTAAATTGAGAATGAAACAAATAACATAAAGAATAAGCGAGAGAATTTAAACGTTGTAAGTGAGGTAATCTAGAGACGCAAGAGACTTCGAAAGATAACTACCATGAAAATCAATGCTGTTCAAATTATTGACTTGCGTAGAAATATGAACTACATTTAAACCTGATAAATTCACATTGAACAAATGAAGATATCGAGTTCCCCTGTCTGATGTCTTGAATATGTTTACCAATTCTCAAATATTCCTTCTATTGCTCATGTAATCATATCATATATAAATAAATGTTATCTTAAATAGTGTATTAGCAGACTTGATCATAGCGTTGTGTGACTTCTTATTTGTTAGTTCAGTGAAGCGGCAAGAAATAGTAACAAATTCATCATTGAACTTGTATCAAAACTGTACTGTATTCTATGACTTGGTCCAGTTATTGTTCAATACTCAGTCGAAATTTATAGCTATGAATTTCTTCAATAGCAATACAGTAGAATCGTCTGAATTCTCTGTTGCCTAGATCTAATTATTCTGCATTCCACTATTACTATTATTACACTCTATATTACTGGAATGATGTTTCGGGTCAAATATTTTTGGCTGTCGTAAGAAAGGCCGATGCCTCGTATATCATATTTATATATTCTTTCACTTCATCAAAATATTCTCATTGTAAAAGAGAATACTAAATATTCTCAGTTTACCAAGTAAGATAAAGGCCCAAAGCCGATTCAGCCAAACTTTTTTTTTATCTCACAATTTGCTAGAAACTATATGAAAAATTTTCTTGTTTCAACGCAGGCCGTAAAATCTGATGCAATTTCTGTTCCATGAAACGTTGTTATTGTGTTAACTCTTTGACCCTAGGCTGTGTATGGTCCTGGGAAACAAATTTTATTCCTGTTTATTTCGATGGCCGTAGTTTAAACTAATCAAATTCTAGTGCGTGTGGGAATAAAGGTGCCTATACACGGGAAAGTTTTAACCCATAGTTTTAGCGGCAAGTACTTCTCACTTCGAATATTGGGCTAATTTCTGTTGATCTCTAGACAAAATTTTGAAAAGGTAGATGAAATTGATGCTTTCTAATAAAAATTGATACTTATTCTCTTAATTTTTAGCCCGATGTTCGAAGTGGAAGGTACTTGCGGCTAAAACTTACCACGTGTATAAGCGCCTAACTCGGTAAGCATCAATAACGTTATGAGAATATTTGTGTAAGTTGCGGTTGTTCGGAAGTTTTTTTACTCCATTGCGACGAATCAGCCTATGTGGTGGCATGCACGCACTAGGATTTTATTTCGTGATGGCTAGCAGTTCCCTTTCCTGTTATTTCTTCTGAAGAACCTTGACAAGTTCATGTCACCATGCAACCAATAGTTAGCAACCAAATTATTGTATGCAATACTATTGAGAATCATTCATCTTCTGGATATTGTAATTAGTTTGCAGCATTAAGGAAAGGGCAACAAATTACGATAGCAATAGTGGAAAAATAAAATGTATGATTCAAGATAAATTCTTCAATACTTTTAACTGCTACATCCTGAAGCCAAATTCCTATTTACATAGTCGGTTAAGGAAATAATGAAAGAATATAACTTGAAGAAAATATAATCTCAAAACAACTCGACCTTTATTCTAGAAAAAACTCATCCTATTCAATCCAGCTGGGTATTTTTGGTCTCTCAATTAATTAAAAGTAAGGCAAGAGATGTCCTTCCTCTACTGGCAGTAAAGCTAGTTAGCGGGCTCATGTTAAAAGAGCGTAGACAACACGGAATGCACACGTGGGCGAAGGGTTTAATAATGAAGTGGGCAAAGTGTTTTTAATAATAATTAAACTTTCAATATCATATATTTAAAGTTGAATCAACATTGATAATATCCGTAAATTTTGATATTTCATTGTAGTCAAAACGCTTAACATATCAAACATTAGACTTTTATTGCGGTTGAAATGATTAATATTTTCGTAGACATGGACGTTATTTCAGTGTGGTTGGAGCGATTTATATATCAGACCTTGGGAATATTCACCGTGGTTGAAGCGATAGTAGACCTAGGATTATTTCACCGTGATTAGTCGGGCATTGAAGTGATTACTGCTCAAGGATCTCTCTTACGGCAGGACTGAGCGACGTATTGCTCCATGGTGGTGAGCATACCGCCGCTGGTGTCCGGCAGCTCTGTCATGTAGCCCCAGCGCATGGCGTGGTAAACGTCAGGTGGAGCTTCGTAGTATTTATACTTTGCTGCGTTCACCTGACCAACGAAAATTATTTCAAAACCTTGCATTTGAAGATATTTGAAAATAAGTTCAACAAATTCTTTAAAATATTGAATAAATCAAATGTACAATCTTAGACTTTGTACTTGGCTGCGTACATCAAAGCAACGAAAATGCATTGAAAATCACGCATGTGATAGAAATAATCAGCATATAATCAACCAGCGATTGCTTAATATTGTGTAACCCAAAGAAAGAATCTTCGTATTTCTACTTGGCTGCGTCCACCTGAGCAACGAAAATGTAGTGAAAAAGACGCGCGGTAATCCTCTAAGTACAAAATCACGATCGGTCTGAAAGTATGTGCAATTAAGTTAAGTGTGGGGTGGCAGAAATTGTACGTACAGTAACGAGTTGTCCTTCTGTCATGCTGCAATATTTCTTGGTATCACAGAGCTGCGTAGCGTTGAGGGCGACCAATATCTCGACGGGCAGCGTGTATGTTTGTTCCACTCGATATGCTGTGATGATGCAGTCGTCTGTATCATCAGTATTTGCTGATAACTTAGCGTGTGGCGTCTGCTTTACGCTCATGTCTAATTCTGATGCAATTTGAGCCGGCAGTTCAGGTTCTGGGACGATTTCACTTTCATATAAAGGGTCTCCTTGCGATGCCCATTGGCTGCGAGTTGGATATTGTTTTCTCGATGGTTGTACAAAAGTTGATGGTTCAGGATTTAGATGCGGATAATTTTCTTCCATTTCTGGTGTTTCCTTCCAAACTTGCCTGCCGTCCTCGCCTACAGCGGACAAGGTGTACGAAATTGGAAACGGTCGAGACGATGAATCGTGGTCGGGTTTCGGTTCATCTGAAGAAAATTCAGATTCTGTAGAAATGATAACTTTTAACGTACAAATTATTTCCCTGTACCTTGTAACTCGTAATATGGAAGCGTTCGAAACTTAGTACGTAACTTAGTACGTTCGAAACTTACAACACGTTCGTGTTGTACTTAGTACACCACGAAAGCAAAATCTTCATAGTTTCATTCGGATTGCCGAGTTGTAATGGGATGAAGCAGCGGGCTGAGAAACTCAGCTAGCTGTGAAAATTCTGCCAAGTCTAGTCTACAGTCGGCAGAAGGCTAACCATGGCATTCTCTTCAATGCTGACACCACTATAAATTGAATGTTATTATATTACATTTAGTGGTGGCCTAATGATGGAGCTATTTCGTGTACTCTTTAGGAATAGACATACGGTTCTGCAATTTATCAATGTCACCATTACCTTAATGAGCAACACTTGACCCACGTTCTCCGTGAGTGCAAATGTATCGTAGTATATTCTCGTTATCTAAATAAATTTGTGCTCGGCAACTGATCGAGATCGTGTGATGAAAAACAATGAATATGGTTTAGGCAATAAATGCATGATAGAGCAGTTCAAGTTCTCATGATTAACAATTATTAGAATTCAACCAAATATTTTCAGAGTAGAATGGGCAGCCGCAGCCAAGTCTACGAGGCTAACTCTTCAATAATCATCGAGATAATAGTTATGATAAAAACAACCATCACACACATCACATTTAGAATCAGAGGGCTGACACCTCGGAAACCTATAATGCACAATAAATTGATTTCTGGTGACAACAGATGGTAGATGACTTGTTGAGATAAATAATATGAATTGGATACTATTTTCATTAGTGGTAAGCAAATGAATATATTCGCTTGCCATTAATGAATCTATGAATATAGGGATCATTGTGGCAAGTGATCATCCATTCTGAAACCAATGTGAATGGCGCTATAGCGTCTCATAATTTTCTATTTATTTGAACGGAACAATTTTGGATTTCAAAAGTCACGTAAAATTAAACCTTTTTTGCACGTTAGTTTCTTAATGCTTATTTAAATGTTTGACTTCTTGTTAATTCAGAGAAAAGTTTCATTACCTACCGCGTCAAACTTTCACGAAATCTAATCTACTCTAAATTCAAACTATCGTCTGACGGGAATCTTTCCCAAGTGTGATTCCAGATGCAATATAAATGCGACCTCTGTCCTCGAAGCCCCAGATTTTTTTACATGAATGGCAAATTTTTCTGGTGATTCGCTCACCTGGACGCACGGGGAACGAAATTCCAGGAGTGGACAGCGATAATCTGGCAGCGTCCGGCAGGTCTGGGAACTCGGGGAACTTCCAGGGAATAGGAATGCCTGCCCTCGAGCACTTCGGTCCATTTTGGTACTCTTGTACGAGCTTCAGTTGCGCCTCCAGATCCGGTACCCACGGACACGACATGTCTTTTGTCCACGACGCCTGCAAGAATTAAATTGGTACAAGACGAGAAAAAATTGTTTCAGCTAACAAAGTCATGTCCCTTGTCCACGGCAACTGGAAAATTGTATTTTTTTATTGAAAGCGAAAAACGCTCTTTACAACCTTTAGCTGTTCCTCCGGCACCTTCAACAACTGCAAACGCTCGTTTTGGAATGAGAAATTAACAATGAGCTTTTAAATTAAAAAGTGAATGGAAATCAACAACTACAATCCAAATAAGCGAATACGCTGAGCAATAATCTTCAAGTAAAAAGTCCACAATTCAAATGTAGAGTTAATCGATGATATATAGATGAAAAATATCAGCGATATCTAGATCGCATACAGTACTTTGCAGGGTAAGGAAATTTTGTTCTTCCCGATCATTCCACCTAAAGAATACAACGAAAATTAAAGGCAAAATCAAGAAGCAGCAATTAATCCTGCATATGCGTCAATCAAGTAACGCTACCGTATACAATCTCATTCGATGGTTGTTAAATTTTGTCTCGCGCTAGTACGAGGCAAAAATTTGTAACAACAACTTCACAGAATATACAAAAGACGAAGGAAAATGCAACACCAAGTTTCATTTCGATGTATTTATGAGCATTAAAATTAGAAAATATAGTTCGAAACTAATTCATTGAGATGTTACCCGATTTGGAGATGCTTTTAGTTTTCCTTCAAATGCCTTAAGTTAATGTTGCAAGAGCTATCTTCTCCGCAGACTACAATTAATGTCATGAAAGAGAAAATGGTGATAGTAGTTCTGGCGTCAGCGTTGATTAGGTTATCAGACCTGTCGCTGATTTTGAACATCGGAGAATCTTTACAGCTTGTTGCGGGTCTCGAACATACAACTTACTGCTCCAATTCTGCTTTGCGTAAGCACGGCTACCTGGCCGAACATGACCAGAATTGTCACAGGTAGCTGAAAGCTAATCCACAACTCACTGTGCTCCAATCTTGGTACTCTGAACTGTAACCACTAGCCATCATGTCCATGCGAATAATAAAATTACATTTCCTTCCAACATAATTCAATATGCATTTTGCGGATGATTTCTACGTAAAGTTCGCTCAATCCTGCACACAATCAAGATTATAGAAAATAAAGCTTGCAAACTCTCCAATAATAAAAAAATATAACTCAGTACTCACTGCAGTGAGTGAGAGAGCGCATTTTCTCGTCGACGAAAACGTGAAGTCACGGACGGACGGACGGACATGGCGAGCACAATAGTGCATTTTTCCATAAATGAGAAATTTCAGTCTCCAAATTTTACACGTTCTCAAAATAGCATTACAGGAGTAAGGCTTTTTAACCTTATTCGCTAATTTTATGGGCACCAAGTACGACTAAGAATTTCTTTAAAATAGAAAATGGTTCAACCGAAGTATTATTTGCTTCATTTGAGACACCAATGAAGCTGTGCGTAGCTTATACATCAGTATTTTAGCACCATACTTTTTTATATTTGATAAAATATCCATAGTAAAACCACGGCATCGGACACAGAGCGATCCCAAATTGTTCTTTGTCAGTGCCATATTTTCACCGATTGTTCATAGAAGATAAACCATATTTATGCACCAATTGTTCAGAGAGATTAGGTGATGAATATTGACAAAAATAACAGGATAACATCAGATTTCTAAATTCTAAGAAGACTCCATGCGACACGCGGAAGGATGCTCCAGAAGGCGGTGCTGCACGTGGTTCGCAACGAAATCTTCTGAGAGTTCGAAGAGGAAGCCTTCAGAAATTCCTTTCAGAACCAACGGAGGCACTTCCGTCCACTGCCAGCCGTACAACGTTACCTGCACGCAGATTCTATGAAGTAATTGGAAATATAAGGTGTATCGGCCTGTCATTCGTCAGGCGTCGGTACGGTCGCAGTGTGGTCTGGTACCCTTACTAGCAAACATAGTTGAGTGTTCGTGCCACCATTAGATGATCACAGATGAATTCCAAGCTAAACCCAACAAACGCTGACGAGAAATTGGCTTCTACATACACTTCGGCGAGTTTTGATAGTACGGCCCCGGGACCGAACCACCATGAAAAACCCTTAATTATGGTCAAGCAAGAATACATTGTTCGGAATACATCACTCGGGCGTCTCCTTCATAATGTTTTCTAGCTTGACTTTAGTCCAACTAAAACACAGAATTTAGGTTTACCCAACGCAGTGTTAATTAAACATGTTGATCGTACACATTGAACCTAAGGCTCGGACCGAATAGCAGTTTATATCCCAACCCAATTTCAAAAATTGTAGCTCCTGTCGAAATTCCGAGTTTTATATAATGGAATTGTGTATGGAATGAATAATTATAGCTGATCACATCTTGAGGATGCATGAAAAATATAACCTCTACTACAATGCTGATAAATACCCATGAGGTAATTCTATAAAATTCTGCATGACACGACACGAGAGAGTTGGAGTTAATTTCCTTTACATCCATGAAAAGTTTCAAATCTGCGTTGAAATTTCCGCTGACCCACTAGCTTAGTCATCCAATCTAAACAAAAGTTTACCTTAAAACATTCATGTGTGTCAAGTAATTATGCATGGTCACCGGAATAGTGCAATATTACAATTATGAACAAGAATTCGTTGAGAAACTCGTGTACCATTGTTTTTTGAGTCTGCACGGCGGAGCAGTTGAACTGAGTCTTGCAGAATGTGGTGGCATTAAGCGCAAGCAGCACCGGCACCGCGGCTTTGGGTTCGGTGATGATCTTGTAGGCGAGAAACGAGCAGAACGAACTTGCTTCAATGGACTGGCCGAGGTAAAGCGACGCCAACGAGCCACGACTGTTTGCTAGGGTCGGTGAACGGACGGTGGCTGTGTCTGGACATTCAACAAGTATTTCAAGGGCAGTGAAGGAAACTATGCAATACCGGAAAATTAAACAAAAATAATGATGCCAAAAGCTGAACGCTTCAAACTTACAATTGCAATATACAGCCAAAGGCAAATAAGGATAAAAAAATCTCCGTAAACAAGTTGTCGTTTTAAACAATTATATCCAGAATATTTGAATTACAAACTAACGCCCCAAATATTCGAAAAATTGTTCGCCAAATGAACCATTTAACGCCTGAAATATTCACTAGAACCTTATTCAGTACCTCACCTGTTTGCCTTTCAGTTGTGTGAGTAATAATCGTATTCCTAGAATCGTGCACTTGTTGCTTTCTATAGACACTCTCAGAACTATCACTGGCCACGTTATCTGGAGCATGGAAAACATCTTCTTCACCGGCGCAGTTCCAACTGTGGCACGAGTGTTCTAGTTCTTCTACTCGGCGAATTGCTTCCAGAAGGTCGGAATTACCGGCACAGCATCCCTCGAAGCGTTCCTGCAGGTGAGGCTCAGGATTTTCCGTTCCCATGACAAGATTCCTATCGCTCGTTCCAAGTTGTGACAAAAGTGGGGAATCTCTCACTGTCCAAGACGCCTGCAAAATTTGGAGCCATTCCAAGACGAGCAACTCAGTCATGTTTGGCAGGATTTAAAACATTTTTTGCCTGCAGGTGTATAAAAATTATTTTTCGAGACCTGACTGGAGGTACAATACCGCTTACAACATTAAAATCGAGAAGCATATTAAACTTTCGCAAGACGCGATAAAAGACCTCAACATCCACTGGCGAATGTTGATCAAATACTTGAAAATGCAATGCGATTTGCAAGACTGTAATTCAGAAAACATTAATGATGAGAGAGATTTCATGCTTCAATTATCCAAATTTCATCATAGATTTCAATTAACAAATTTCGAATTCTATTGCAGGCACCCAAAAAGATGAGTGCTTCTAGAAATGCTAGAGTAACGGTTTATTTCACGTTTTTATCTATATATGAATAGTTGAAAAATCATTATTTGATTGAACGAACGTTTTTATACGCCTCATCATTGTATGTAATTATGAATATCGCACTTCTCGAGCGATCAAATTTAGACGAATATTGATAATTACGAGTGAAACAGAAAAGTAGGATTTTACTTCGATGGACAACGCGCATTTTTCTGAAACGTAGAAAATTAACCTTCACAAATTAAATCGTGGAATTTGGAACTATTTCATTGATTTATGCAGCTGGATTTAGTGTTGTACTCAATAAGCTGACAGATTAGTGAAAGGCATTGCTGTAGCTGACAACATCATTCACCAGAAAACAAATTTTAAGAAGCAATTTAAATTAAAATATTTATTGAATGCCACGAAAAAATTTTGTGAAGACTCTGCTGTCGAGAGAAACATACAATATTTATTTATGGTTTTATGAAAGTGTATTCAAAGCTACAACAACAAAGAAATAAAAAAACAAGAACAGTTCAATGGACACACAAGGACGACCGTGACAAAGAAGGCGAAAAATAAATAAAAAACATAACTCAGTACTCACTGCAGTGAGTGACAGAGAGCGCATTTTCTCGTCGACGAAAACGTGAAGTCACGGACGGACAGGCAGACGGACGGACAGACGGACAAACGGACAGACGGACAAACGGACAAACGGTCAGACAGACGGACGGACAGACATGGCGAGCACAATTGAGCCTTTTTTCCATAAATGAGAAAATGCGCTAAAAAGAAATAAATAAATAAGGTTTTCAGAGGTAGACTTAGAGTCGTAAGAGATCAACCCCAGAAACACTTATCGACACAATAATGTGGCTGACGCGCTGTACAATTAACGTTTCTGCCTGGCGCCAAGGGGGAAGCAATCTGCCCTGACTCGCAACTCATTACAAGTGACGAAAAATGTTATCTCCATCGCAGACCTGAAATGAGTTTAGTGCACGCGTGATTTAAGCTCGCTTCCAGGGATAAGTTAATACTAGATGATAAATCTTATTCATTCAATGTAAAAATACAACTAAATAAACAGCATGCAATGAAAGCTCAAGAAACATCGAGCAATAATTATACCAATACGGGCATGGAAATCTGTCGTCAGAGCTGAAAAAAGTTAGGCGATGTAGAGATCAGAGTTACACAAAAACGAGCACACGTGAAAAATCCTTGCGAAAAGTTATCGGCAAATACTTTTTCTATAATTTTATTTTTTTTATTTATTCATATCACATAAGAACAACGTACACATGAATATCCTTTGAAGAGAGCATTATACCGTATCTGGCTTTTTTTCTCTCTTTCCTTGCTTCTCGTGTAAGATGCACAATTTATCAAATATTGTACCAACATTATCAGAACAATTGCGAGATGATACTTAAACAGATTAAGTTGCGTTTGAGTTCATTAATTCTAAATTGATTCCAATTGTGATATTGGTTATAGATTATCTTCACGCGGGGTACTGCAGCTCTGAGTTCCAGCGAACGAGTAGCAAATGGCTTGGCCCATGTAAAAAAATATAACTCAGTACTCACTGCAGTGAGTGACAGAGAGCGCATTTTCTCGTCGACGAAAACTTGAGGTCACGGACGGACGGACAGACGGACAGACAGACAGACGGACATGGCGAGCACAATAATGCATTTTTCCCATAAATGAGAAAATGCGCTAAAAAGTCTTATCACATAAAGCCAGGGTTGGCGATTTTTTTTATTTTTTTAAAAAAATCAAAAAAAATCAAAAATCAATGATTTTTTTTTATTTTTTCATGATTTTTTTGATTTATTTGATTTTTTTTTATTTTTTTCAGCTTCTTTGTCTTTTTGAGTTGTAATTTTTTATGTTGCAATTAGCCTACTGACAATAACAGTATATGGATAATAATGGATGGCTAAAAAGGGCACTAATTGCCTTCAATAATGGCCAACAGGCCAAGGTGATGTTTACCACTTAGGGATTTTTGGGTAAACAATTATTGATAAGTCTATTCATTAGCTTTGTAAAGTTTGTATGGAGCAAGGTAATGAGCTAAATATTGACCATTTAACTGGCTTCAATATACAAAATCACTTCAGGAATGCAGATCTCCTAAACATTGAAGAGTCACATAACAGATAGGTAGCTGATAGCACAGTGCACAGCACTAGGTATCAATAGATCTACTAGTTTTATGTCCTATAAATCTACCAGACTCTACCTTCTATACACACCGAATGATAAAGCTAATTTTTTTGCACGAAAGCCGCTTATGTAGACAAGCAGATGATTAATTTCTAGACACTAAAGAACTGTCAGAAAATAAGTCTTGGCTGGTATTCGGTACGAAGCAAATGCAGTGAAGACGCATGCCTGAACAAATTATGCCCTAGACCACAGAAGAGGCTCTTAGAATAACACACACAATTTGTTAGGAGAGGCTCATAGGATAACAAAATTTTGAGACACCATAGGCTTTGGCCGATGATTCGCTACACTCGGCAGTCGGCGCAAAGTTATTCCGTGATTGCTTGGCCACCAGACCGAAATCTGTTTATAGTCAGAATCTCCTTTCCGACTTTAGGTATATATAGTAGCCTACATAGGGCAGGGTTGCCCAGTGCTTATGGTTCAGAGTACTAGGATTGGAGCAGAGAGGTATGGGTTTGATCCCAGTTCTTTGCACCAGTTTCTGGTCAGAATCGGCAAGAAAGCCGAGCAAAAAAAAGCAAAATTGGAGTAAGGAGTCACGAGTTCGTGACCACAACAAGCTGAAAATGTTCTGCGATGTTAAGAATCAGTGTCATGCCAGTGGCCTAATAAACGCTGAAATCGCCTGAGAGTATGAGAGGGGTCGGCCAAGCCAAGTCATACCAAGCTAGCAAGCTGCCGTGGGGCTACCCTTCAAACCCCTATCCGAAGGGGACATGAGCGGCTGATTTAGGCGCTCACCGAGGACCTCTGTCAACTCCGCTCCGCCCCCGTACAACTCAGCCTTATCAACTCACCTTCCAGCCATCCTTGACACAAAAGTTCGCTTCTTGTTTGTTATAATAATAATTAAAAATCAATCTAACCAAGAGAAACAGTTTTGTCACTCTTGTCAACTCACAGCCATCAAGGAGAGGTCGGAGTATCGGCACATGTGAGCGCCGATGTTGTCGTCCGTCGGGTCGCCGTTGTTGTTGCCGCACATGCCGCACACTTCATCGTCGCCCAATAGCGTTACGTTGCCGCCGACGCGCCCTACTGTCAGACGTACGATACCGTCTATGGTGCATGAAATCAAGTCCCCGTTGTTGATGGAGCTACACAAACCTGGGGAGTAAGAGAAAGGTTAGTTATACAGACATAAATGAAAATTTTGACGCTAGTAGTTACGAGAACATTAAAGAAATAATTAGTGGATTGAAACACATCCAAGATTGAAGTGGATTATTATCACAATCGATAACCGTCATCTCAAAGTTAATACAGGAAAAATAAAATAGGTCGATGACCATTAAGATAAAAAAACATCAATACTATTAAAAATAATTATTCTTTTGCAAAACAATTGACAAAAAGACCTATAGCCATACGATCAAGTCATTCGTTCGTACTATTTACTCGGTTATTTTCAATGCTCAACTTGACACAGCTGAAAATGTCAACCAATTATTCGTGCAGTAACCGAACTCAGCTGAGGCTCACATGAAAAATTAGTAGCAACTAATATATCCATGTCATGCAGCGCGATGGTGTTTCAGCATCAAATGTCTAACACTACAATTGAATCCAAAAAATTATTTAGGTAATGCCCATACAAGCATCGCTGAGTCAAAAAAGTACGTGAAAAATTCACATACATCCATCCAGTCAACTGAGGTCACCACGGTTGAAGCCTGTATTGTATTTGTTTCAAATTAGTTTGTATTGCTTCACAAATGACAAAAAAAAAAGATGCACGAACAAGAAACGAGTTTAAGTATATGATTGTTGAAACTAAAATAAACTCACCAATTGCATGTTTTTTCACGGGATGCATGATAGGGAAAACCCCCGTGTTTCGATAGGGCGCCACTCCGTTGATCTGAAATAGCGATGGAGGACAATGATGATACTCACGTTACTGCCTACCACGCAAAAGGATGAGATTCATCCTTGTAATTTTGATCATGAATTGCCAAAATGTGCCAAGCTAACAACCAAAATTTACAGAATGAGTTTCAAAATGTTCTATCACTACCAAAAAATTCAATTAATTAAAAATTAGCCTCATGTTGTTCATTACTTTCAATGGAAAATTTTATAATGTATTAATTTGATACTTGAAAGTAAGAAACCAGAGAACGGCTACAACGAGCAAAACTGGAGTATCACTACTTATCATAGCTATTGATATCGATAAATTTTTTCTAGTATTTTTCATTTATATCCTGTCTTTTGTCATATATCCAGTATATATTATTCAGAAATTGTCCAGTCTTTTATCATATTTCCCTTATTTATAATCGAGAAATTGAACTGAATTTTCTACGCACAGATAAGGTGCGGTAGCCAAGATACACATCAACGTCGAAGTTTGCGTCCAGGTAGCGGAAGAATGGAGAACGCGTGTCTGCGCGTCCTGCCAGAGGATCGAGGTGCGTGAAGACGTACCATTTAGGCTCCCGGTTACAGTGGGCAACGGCAAGCTGGTAGCAACTTGTATAAACTTTGTCGAAAGACAAACCATCAGCAGTTCTTATGCTACCATTGTCTGTGAAACACGTTCCTTGGGGAGCAGAGTCGGTGGTAGAATCTGAGTCGTGTGAGTTATGATAGGTCTGTGGTCCTAATGTATCTATGTCCACCCAAGCATCGCCAGTTGATTCAAGAGGTGTCCCAGTCATGTCAAGATGGTTTGAGTGGTCGTTGTAAAAGTCCGTCTGTTTCGCAAGGGCGAAAATTGAAGTTTCGATATTCCTTGGAGTCTTCAAGTCGTAGGCTCGCCAGTTTGGACTGCAGAAGCGACATTCCGCACTCCACTCGTTCGTCAAGAGTGATCTGGAAAGATCAATTTATTAAACGCAAAATCACAGTAAATGAAAAAATCGAGATAATAAATCATTGCTTTCGTTGACGGGTTTTGCAGACAGGCAGGCATGAAAGACGAGTAAATTCGATAGAAATGTTATGGCTAATGATAATAATACTCCATGTATGAAGTCAAATTATTTCCAGAGAGTAAAAAAACCAAAGCACACGTGTGGCTAACAAAAATAATAGCATTGAAGGTTAGGAACAAACCAAAGAAAAGCAAACAACGTCAAAAATAATATTCTGCTAGGGCATCTGTACCGGGAATTGCTTTGAAAAACAAGAATGATTCTCCGATTATTAACTGTTGTATAGACATCAGTGAAATATTTGAACCCCCCCCCCCCAAAAAAAAAAACAATTAGTAACAGTGATGAAGAACACAAACTAGCGACAATTTTTTAGTACGTGAACCATTGAAGTAGCTGTCATAAAGAGCTGGACAAAAAGGAGAAAATCTTAAAAAAAAAGAAGGATCCCAGCAATTGCGATTATAATTTGAGAAATTTTCAGATAGTGCACATAAACTTCGAAAAGAATCTAATAAACTCGCAAATACATTATTTTCATTTATGAGCATTTCACAAATTAATATTCCTGATTATGGACCCAGTTTAAATTCATGCTTCTAACATTCGCCTGGGTCGTTCTACCATAAAGTCTTTGACAGAGCTCACGCTGGAACGTGCTTCCGGCGCCACAAGTCTTCATCCAAATAAAAAAGCTATAGAAATGTAAAAAAAAATCCAATTATAAATAATATACGTTCAAAAATTACTTTTTAATGACAACACTTCTTAAGAATCAAGTGTCTCCAATGTTAAAGATGTACAATGAATTTCTCATTTTATTTTCGAATAATAAAAAAATTAATTTTTAAATTTTTATTAATATAATTTTCTTTCAAATTTATGTATTGTGTCAATTGATTGCCTCTGACTTCACACAAGTGTGCAAAATTTTAGATCAATTGGACAGGTAAAAGTGTGTCATATATCAATTACAAGATTTGTAGCTGACAAAATTATTTTTTAATTTTTTTAATATTGAAATAAAAAAGTTTAACTTTTAAAATCATTTATTTTGTCACTTGATTCTTGCATTGTCTCCAACTTTACGCAAGTGTGCAAAATTTCAGATCGATAGGATAAGTAGAAGTGTGTTAAATTTCGATTATAAGATTTGTAGCAGACAGACATACAAGAAGTGAAGTTAAAGAGAATTGATGTAAAATAATATGTGTTTAAAAATTACTTTTTAAAGACAACACTTCCAAAGAATCTAGTATCTCCAATCTTACAGACGTACAATGAATTTCTCATTTAATTTTCGAATTAAAAAAATTAGTTTTTCAATTTTTTTAATATAGAAATTTTTTTAATATATAATTTTTTCAAAATAAATCATTCTATTAATTGATTCATGCATTGCCTCTGACTTCACACAAGTGTGCAAAATTTCAGATCAATTAGACAGGTAAAAGTATGTCAGATATCAGTTATAAAATTTGTAGCTGACAAAATTATTTTTTCAATTTTTTAATAGTGAAATTTTTTTTTTAATTTTTAGAATCTTTTATTTTGACATTTGATTCATGCATTGTCTCCAACTTTACGCAAGTGAGCAAAATTTCAGATCGATAGGATAAGTAGAAGTGTGTTAAATTTTGATTATAATATTTGTAGCAGACAGACAGACAGACAAACAGACAAGAAGTGAAGTTAAAGAGAAGTGTTGTAAAATAATATACGTTTAAAAATTACTTTTTAAAGACAACACTTCCAAAGAATCCAGTGTCTCCAATCTTACAGATGTACCATGAATTTCTCATTCAATTTTCGAATATTAAAAAATTAATTTTTCAATTTTTTTAATATATAAATTTTTATTAAAATATAATTTTTTTTCAAAATTATTTATTCTATTAATTGATTCATGCATTGCCTCTGACTTCACACAAGTGTGCAAAATTTCAGATCAATTAGACAGGTAAAAGTGTGTCAAATATCAGTTATAAGATTTGTAGCTGACAAAATTATTTTTTCAAATTTTTTATTTAATATTGAAAAAAAAATTTAATTTTTAAAATCAATTATTTTGACATTTGAGTCATGCATTGTCTCCAACTTTACACAAGTGTGCAAAATGTCAGATCGATAGGATAAGTAGAAGTGTATTAAATTTCGATTACAAGATTTGTAGCAGACAGACAGACAGACAGACAAGAAGTGAAGTTAAAGAGAAGTGTTGTAATAATATTCAAATTATAAAAATATATTCAAATATTGATAAAAAAAATATTCAAATTATGAAAAAATATTAAAATTAGGATCAAAAGTCAAATTATGAAGAAAATATCTAAATTCTAAAAAAATCAATCCCAGATGTCTCACCGATTGGCGTGCAGAGCAGCGCTCTGACTCGTGTCCTCGTCGCTGGATGCGTAGACAGGCTCGACGTTCGGATACATCACAGCAAACAAGTGGTTCTTGATCGCTCGCCAGCACGGCGTCAAGAATACACTCAAATTCTGAGTATCAAAATTACAAATATAATAAGTGGAAAATTACGTAATTTCTCATAATGTGAAATAGGAAAGGCTCTTAAATGAGTTTTACTTATAGTTTAACTACCTTTAATTATAACACATTTTAAAGTTTAAAAACTTTTAATTATAATAAATTTACTATCAAACTCATTCACTTTTGTTACATGATAGTGAATCAAATACCGAGACTCACTCTAAGAGCAAATATGTTTATAAGTATTGCACAAAAAGATCTCTAGCATCTATTCAGTACGGATGACTTAATACAATTTAGCCCGAACACAAACTTAAATAGAGTTTTACTCACACCAGGGTTAGTAGTTGTTACATCGATCAGATCATAGACCGCCAGACCGTCCAGAGCGACGCTGGGCTCGAGGAGGTCGGCGGCGCAGGCAGACTGTGCCTTGCGCTGCAGCAGCTGTGACCGCTCTGGGGTCAGTCCCGCCACGGCCTGGATGTCGAATTGCATCAAAATATTGAACACAAAATATGATTTTGAAAATTGTACCGTACAGAAATATGTATACATAAACGTAATTATACAATAGGTACAAGTATCAAAGCTGCTCTCAACCTTCAATGCGATGGATCAGCAATCGAGTACTGATATCATGAGTAAATCGATAAACAATTTGCTTGCTACCGAGCAATTAGAGATAAGTTTGCCAGCTCAATTAGACTTTTCCGCCCCGTTGCAGACCGAGTTTGGAACTCCAGCGCTAATGAGGCAAGAAATTGCTAACAAGATGCAAGGGAAACTGCAGCTTATTACGGTATACCAGGCTCTTATTTGTAGTCAACTACTTACCGGGCCCATAATGCGATGAATGTGGAGATTTGTATCATTAAAAATAACGTAAGGCCCTGATAATGTTCAATATCCTGTTCGTTGCTCGATAGAAGAAAGATACATGAAGGCTCCATAACTATTTCCTATATTAGCAGAATAAGCTTGGACATCTTCCAATTTCATTAGATGCTTTATTGACAAGGGCGTGTTGCAAACTTTGCAAAGAACAGGATTAGGAAATTAGGATAAAGCACGAAGAGCAAAAGTGGTTTGGTTCAAGAATCATACAGAACCCATAACCAGTCAAGCTTCTGCCACTTATAACGCATTTGGACTCATGGTAGATGATTGACTGCATGAAACTTAGACTCCCTCAGACGACACCTCCCGATTACGAAATGGGAAATATTTTTATGAGTGGGTCATCAATAATCTGTATTTCTCAACGTTTTGTTATAATTGAACAACGAATAAAGCTCTAGCTTCACTATACAATGTCGTCAGTAAAAACTATAACTGTTTGATTTAAGCTTGATTACGTCATTTGACACCAGAATGAGAAGATATGAGCAGCACCCATACTCTTCCTGAACTCTGCACACAACAAGAATTAAAATTAAAATAACAAAAAAAACGGCGTTCGTGCTTGAGCTTGGGCTGGAAGTAGACAAGTGAACATAAAAGAATTCACCCAAAAAAGCATTGGATCCTTTGAACGGCTCACTCAATGCTGGACTCTTAAATAAGCAAGCATGTAAGTTCTTAAAAGATGGAAAGACGGGTGGTGAGTTTAGTATTAACGCTTGTGCCTTTGCGTTTACTTAGGTATGCATGATAAATTTGACAATATTTGTGCAGCGTTGTTGAGCGAAATATTATTCGGCTCGCACGTTCATTAATGTTTAACAGGCATTAATTTTAAAGCCAACGATAGCAAGACTTTCATTGCTCAATAATCGATTTTCGAAGAGAATGATTATGTTCTATCTGATTTGTGTGTATTTATAATTAGACGATATGTTCTATCATCTAATTAGGAATTGTGTTAACAGGAACAATGACTTAATTACGAATTTATTTAATTCTATACGAGTAGAAAGATTTGGTGAAGGAGAACCCTGACCGTTGATGCATTTAAAGCAAGGCGTACAGGAACAGTTCCACTCGTTAACAAATAGTGCAGTGTTATGAATTTTAAATGAACTGGAATAACGCATTCATGACGGGTTTCAGCAGCTAAGTATTTCATGTGGTGGACACATAATGAAATTTCTGGTCAGAAAATTAAAACCGATTTTCTGAGGCAAGTCAGAATTTTTACAGTAAAATTTTCTTCCAGAAAATATTTTGTATCAAAATTATTCCTGTTCATGTCTAACGTAAATGAAATTATTACAAATTTAAAACGAAACAAAGCCTAACCATAACCCAATTGTGTGCTTGCGGGTACGGCAGTTTGACTTTTCACCAGCGACTACCAGTGGACAAAAAAAAAAAACTTTCAGACCTATTAGAAAACTTTCATGGAAAATCCCCAACGAATCCAAAAAATATTCCTTTCATAAGATGACATAAGTGCCCATAAGATGCAAAATGCAATAATTTGCCAACAAACCAATCAAGCTGAAAGAGAGCAGGCACCCAAAATACGCTCTAATCCAACGACAAGTGCGTAACTTTGATAACTGAAGTTCAGTTTTATTGAACTGTGAGTTCGGTTTATCGGGGAAGGAAATGAACAGTTCACGCAATTGAAGAAATTGAGAATCGTTCAGTAAATTATAGATTTAAAGAAAGACTCGTTGAGCAACGAACATCGGGGGAAATAACAATGAAGGTATTGAGAAAATTTCAGCTAAGGAACACCATTTAAATAAACATAAGTGATATATGAAGTTTATGCACTTAATTTTGTACAGGGTGAACATTTGTTATGGTGCTGAGTGAAGAGTTATTGAGGTTGAAATTACCATTTACTGTGAACGTGTAAGTGAGTTTAGTATTCGACCACATCGCCGATTGATCTTGATCATTTCACATTACTAATAAAATAATGAAAAAAAATATAAGAAGCATTCAAAGAGCCATCGCCGTTTTGATCAGACATCACCTCGCTGAGAAACTAACATGGAATAGTTTCGCAAAATCACATATGAAGAATATTCATATATTCGTATTTGTTAATGAAGAATAATGAATTGAACCCTCGAACGAACAAAGCGATTAGCAGATTAAAGTTAACACGCAGCACAATGCCTCGAACCAACAAAACAGCCGCTAAGTTTCTTGATTAACAGAAGAAATTGGAGAGCAGCGTCGGAATCAGTTCGCAACTTCGATAACTTCTCATTTGATAGAAAGTTATTTTGTGTTTGAATTGTAAGCAGCAAGTAGGAAGTCGAGAACGCCGCCTCATTAAGCTCAGAGCAAGACTGGAGCTCACGCCAAACACTCGACGTTCTACGATGGCTTCAAACAAATACTTGACGTGACAAGATGGCTTCAAACAAATACTCGGCTAGACGCCATTGCTACTTCCTTCAATCTTTCCCGTGTCACAATGCCTTCAGTTTGGACGCCGTGAGGGGGAAAATTATAAACTTAAGCTCAGGGAAGTCATTTCTCTTGGAAATGAGTAATATCGCCGCTAAATATCTGCCGATTGCTATCAGTCTCGATACCCCAATCTAAAATTTAATTTCATTAAAATAGGGAAGACATTTCAAAGCTCCATTGTAGCTGCTATGTCTATTTCTTGAAGCTTGCGCAGCATTGACATCGACTCATTCATCCTTTGCAAGAAATTATTTTCGGAAAAAAAATTTAAAACAAGAAACGTCGAACCCGTAAAAATCTATTATTCAAAGTTTGACCTCTTTATCTGATTGTGACTCAGCTATTATGATTATAAATTATGCATTACTTGTATTTTATACTTATAGATATATTTATTTTTTATAGATCGTTCGCCTCCGACGATGCTGTAACCTCCTGGTATGCGGCCGGCATGTTTTAACCTGGTGCAAACCTGCTCTGTTGCTTTGTTTGGAACAGACTTCTGCCCCGAATATTAATTAACTGAGCGGGTATGTAGTGGCGCCAGCATGAAGCCAATTTGACGGAGGAAACAAAACCCATAAATGGTCATTTTTAAATTGATTGCCTAAAGTTTATTCCATAGTGAAAATCGTCACCTGTGTATGGAATTAAATTAATTTAGAATGTTTAACTCCCCAAATGAATTTCCTTACGTTAAGCCTCCAGAGCTACAAAATTAGCATGTCTTAAAACATTTCTAAATTTAAAACACTAATAAATGGTTTCAGGACTGACATCAAGTGGAAGATAGCATTCTGTTAAGGCGTTGTCAATTCTTGTATACCTATAAATTAGCTCCCAGCGATACACAAGTGACTTATCTTATAAACACTACTGAACTTAAACCACTATTAAATGAATTACTCAATAACTGACATGGAGAGTGAAGTCAGCAGGCAGATCAGGCTGCGGTTGTCCGGTGTAGACGGCGAGGCTGGCGGAGGCGTTGAGGCAGCGCTCAGCGGCCAGCCACTCAGAGAGCTGCGGCAGCGACAGCGGCACGGGGCGCGTCAGGTTGCCTAGTATCTGCACCTGCAGGTCGTGGGTGCCAAGTGGGTCATTAGGAAACCAGAGAAAAGGTGATATTCCACCAAAATGAAGAGAAAATGTGATATTTCAACAAAAGAAAACAGAGAAATGGTGTTATTTAAGAAAACACAGAGAAAAGGTAGTATTTAAAAAAGAGAGAAGAGGTGATATTTCAACGAGGGAAAGGTGGTATTTCAATAAGAAACGAGGGAAAAGCGATATTCCAAGAAGAATCAAAAGAAATTCTGACCTTTTAACAAGAAACATAAAACAGGTGATATTTCAACAACAAACAACAATTTTAATTTTTAATCAACATATTGCAGGCGGATAATAATACATGAAGGGTTCAGAATTTTACAATATGAAGTCACTAGATTGCTTGAATCGCAGATTTACTAGAAATTTAAAAGCAAAGAAAACTCCACAAGAATTCAGCATTTCTCTATTGAAAACGTTTCGGAGACCAGCTCCATCGTCAGTTCGATAAATCTAAAACACAAATACAGTCAGAAAATTAATAAAGTTTGGAGTCATAGGAAAAAACATAACAAAAATAACAGAAGTTAAAACCTAAATTTACAGGCAAAGGACAGAATAATAAGGAAATACCTATCTATTCACAATTTCTAATTAATAGGAACTTTAGGCAGCATTTAAACTAGGCTTCTCTTTAAAAATATACAATGATTCCAAAATGCGCAGATCGGAAGCACCAGAACTATAAGCTAAAACCTTAAAGTCAGTGTCGGACACCGGAACTGAGTTATAGAACTGGGCAGTTACTATCGCGCCCTCCTCATTCGGCTGTGCGCACTCACGCCGAACAGTGCAACGTTCCGGTGTCCGACACTGACTTTAAGGTTTTAGCTTATAGTTCTGGTGCTTCCGATCTGCGCATTTTGGAATCATTGTATATTTTTAAAGAGAACCTAGTTTAAATGCTGCCTACAGTTCTAATCCATTGGAAATTGTGAATATATAGGATTTCTTTATTATTCTGCCCTTTGCCTGTAAATTTAGGTTTTAACTTCTGTTGTTTTTTCTTATGACCCGAAACTTTATTAATTTTCTGACTGTATTTGCGTTTTAGATTTATCTAACTGATGATGGAGCTGGTCTCCGAAACGTTTTCAATAGAGAAATGCTGAATTTTTGTGGAGTTTTCTTCGCTTTTAAATTTCTATTGACTATATGAATACTGAAAACCAAAACGCCCAACCCAGAAGCCCTCAATAATGATGCCCTCAGACTCAAATGTGCTTGAACTTAGGCATAGATTTATAGAGCTTTTCAAGAGGATGTAAGTATTGTCTCAATATTAAAATATACCCTAGATTATTCTGATACATACCTAATTAAAATTAGTTAGTATTGGTTAGTGTTGTTGCAATTCCCGAGTCCTGACCTTAGATGAATATTTGCCGGAAGACTGGAAAGTGATGGCCATGAGGCTTGAGTTATAGAGCTGGTCTAGGAGAGCAGGTTGGTATAATGTCAGCTCGGTGCTCATGGAGCTCCCGCTTGGGAACTTCACTTGAGCTGTCACTGTGACCTTCGCAGGATACGGGCACACCAATTGTCCTGTTCAAGTCCGGTCAATGTTAGCATCAAAATTATTGAAATCATTATTAAAAATTACTATGAACATTGCAATTCAATTGTACCAGGTGACATTAATATTTAAGACTAGTCGGTTTTCATATAAAATAAATTCGCACATTTAAGGAGTTTTGCACTTTGAATGTATGGGTTTCACGATGTAGCTGTGATATGGTTTGATAGGCAAGCCATTCGTGAGCACTCAGGAAAGAATGCAATGAAAATTCCTAAAAATCACGCGTCAGAGAAGCAGCATCGAAGAAAAGACTTCGCAGAAAAACAACTCCCCGGGGATTACACAGAATGTTTAATTTACTGCGATGGGGCTTACAGGGAATTGCTTGCATATAAGAGGAAACTTTGAGAGCAAATTTGTAGGTATTTACAAGCCCAAAAGTAAAAATAAATTGCAAAATGCAACATTTATGAATCAATACGAATTTAAAAATATTATAATATAAACCAAATGTATGAGACAAATTGAGATTTTTCAGTGATTCTTGGTTACTCTCAATGAAAGAATATCAATGCATAACAAATTTTTAAAGTGCATGTGACCATTTGATTGGCATTTTGAAATAGTACGAGATTTTTAATACAATGATTAATTAAAAATATAAAAAGACGTTAACGACAAACTAACTCATTGAAAATGCCAATGTTGACTTCAATAATGATATTTTAAAATCAATTGAACTGGATGAATTGAAAAGGATGAACTGTAATGCTTCTAAGCAATAAACTAACAGCAGAAACATTGCCTGCCAACACCAACGGAGTCTCCACTCACTGACACTAAAACTTAAAATCAATTCCATAAAATAATGTAAATTATTTCAAGCAATTCACTCAAGAAAAAAACAAAGAATGTATTGAGTGGCCCATTTATAACCAAACCTATTAGTAGTCAGTAAATAATCGGTACAATATTCCAGACATTTGGAGCCATAGAGGATTAATGATAAATGACGGAAACCATTCGTAAAATTTTATAATTAGCGAGGCCATGAGGAGGTGGAGCATTGGCACAGGGAAGGAGGTGGAGTATTGGCACGGGGAAGGAGGTGGAGTATTGGCACGGGGAAGGAGGTAGAGTATTGGCATGGGGAAGGAGGTGGAGTATTGGCATGGGGAAGGAAGTGGAGTATTGGCATGGGGAAGAAGGTAGAGTATTGGCATGGGGAAGGAGGTGGAGTATTGGCATGGGGAAGGAGGTGGAGTATTGGCACGGGGAAGGAGGTAGAGTATTGGCACGGGGAAGGAGATGGAGTATTGGCACGGGGAAGGAGGTGGAGTATTGGCACGGGGAAGGAGGTGGAGTATTGGCATGGGGAAGGAGGTGGAGTATTGGCATAGGGAAGGAAGGGGAGTATTGGCATGGGGAAGGAGGTGGAGTATTGGCATAGGGAAGGAAGGGGAGTATTGGCATGGAGAAGGAGGGGGAGTATTGGCATGGGGAAGGAGGTGGAGTATTGGAATGGGGAAGGAGGTGGAGTATTGGCATGGGGAAGGAGGGGGAGTATTGGCATGGAGAAGGAGGGGGAGTATTGGCATGTGGAGTATTGGCATGGGGAAGGAGGGGGAGTATTGGCATGGGGAAGGAGGGGGAGTATTGGCATGGGGAAGGAGGTGGAGTATTGGCATGGGGAAGGAGGCGGGAATACAAATAATAAATTTCCGAAATTCTGACTGAAGAACGAGTGGGAGGCGCTCCACAAATCATGTGGTTCGAGAAGAGTGACGGTTTTATTGCACCAAGATTGCCTGTTAAAATCCTTGCAAGTATAGCGACTGGAATTAGATAAAAAATATGATCATAAATCCAATTTCAAAAACTCCATTCACCTTTAAATGTAAACCAAATAATTGGGGCTGAATGGCTAAAGTAACTTTTTTTGCTTAATACGAGTTTCTTACTAACCGTCAATTATATGGAACAAAATTTCTGTCAAAGATATAAATATTACTCCGTCGTTCTCATCAGAAAGGAAATGTAATTCAATGTAATATTTCAGCGTCTCTCGAATACCACTTTCGTGAGTGGAGTGTTTATAGAGTAATTTAGTTGCCTTAAAATTAGTTACTCTAAATTTTCTCTTTTCATTTCAGGGTTATATAATTTTGTGTTGCAAAATTAGTATTTGGATGTCGATTGACCACAAAGTAAGGGTTATCACGCTGAAAATTTAAAAATGAGAATCGGGACTTCATGGAAGCGATAAGAACATTGAATGCATTAGTTAAGTTTTTGATGTGTCTGTCTGATGATTTTTACCTTCGTTGTTAATGTGACACTCCGTCCCTTGGCCGGCCAAGGAGTCAATAGGTGTGTAGCCGCTGGTATCTGGAAACAATGAAGTGAAGGTAATACTATACGGAAATACTAACCTCAGGTATAATACAAATGAATGTGATATTTTACGGTATTAAGCGAGCATTATTTCTTAAGTTACCTCAATTTACCAATACCAATTACCTTAAGTTATTCAAATAATATTTTCCTTTTGACAATTATCTCAGCATCTTAATCAATTAGAAAATTTAATGCGCATCATAATCATTTTTGCTGAAACATCCCAGGGTGTTTTGATTAGAAGTACATCTCCTCTACGGAAACACAATCAAATCAAATGAATTTCAAATAAAATCATCAAGATTTAATAGTTATCATTCAATAAAGAAAATATATAAATTATCGTAATTTTAATATCAGTTTTGTAATAACAGTCGTATACAGCTGTATAACAGTTGTATAGTTGTTTGTAATAACAGTTGTATTCTTTGAAGACTATTACAACTCACAAAAGACAATAGAACAAATGAATTCCAACGATGTGTTCGCAAGTTCCACCATGCAGGCAGCATTAATCTAAAACGCTTTGATCGATAAGCCTTATTACATTCTCTAGTAAAATGCTCACTGATAGTACTGCTGCTCTGTGTTGAGTTAAAAGCTGTAGAGAATTTATACAGGTGATGATAACTTACAGCGAGTAAATGTTCACATGTATTGATTTAAAGGTTGGAGCGAATCTGCATAACTAATGCTAACTTGATGTAAAAAGATGATCGTGCAGTACACCTAAACTACCTGAGAATAAGTTAAGCTCCCTCATGTCAGCTTATAAATGGCAAATTTTCAAGCAGAATTTGCGACCTGAGTTTCGCTCCCTTATGTCAGCCTATAAAAGGAAAATTAAAACCTTAGTAAATCGATGCATTTTCAAAGAAAAAATGCATCGAAAAATGCAATCGATGCATATCTAAAGAAAAAATGCATCGAAAAATGCAATCGATGCCAATCCAAAGAAAAAATGCCTAGAAAAATGCAATCGTTGCATATCCAAAGAAAAAATGCCTCGAAGAATGCAATCGTTGCATATCCAAAGAAAAAAATGCATCGAAAATGCAATCGATGCATATCCAAAGAAAAAAAATGCATCGAAAATGCAATCGATGCATATCCAAAGAAAAAAAATGCATCGAAAATGCAATCGATGCATATCCAGAGAAAAAATGCATCGAAAAATGTAATCGATGCAAATCCATAGAATAATCAGACATATAAAGATTTTTAGGACGTAACAAATGTACACACGCCATGCTGACCTAGCGTGAGCAGGACGCTCGTAGAGGACTCGGTGGCAGGCGCTAAGCTCAGCACGCTGCGCTCGAACTTAGCGTCGCGCGCCCCCAACAACGTGACGACCTCAGCCGGCGACCTGGTGGGTGACAGCAGGCAAGATCAGGAGTTGCATTCAGCTGAACATTTTAGTGCATTCACTGTATAATGCGCAATTTGGGAATTGTGAGGTGCATTTATTGAGTTTTTAAGGGGACATTATTAGTGAATAATTCAGGTGAACATTTAAGTGAATAATGCGTAATTAAGGAATTGTGAGGTTAATTTAATGTATTTTCTGGGGGGCATTATTCGTTTTAGAGGTTATTTATCTATTTTCCACAAGGCTAAACGTCCTTAAAATATTGTGCACGAATTTAATAGGTATCATAAGGCTAATAATTCACAGTTTTCCATCAGATTTGAAATTCAAAGAAGCCTGTTTATCAAGGGCTAATAATTTCGCAGCCATTTTCATCATCAATGACATTATTTTGAAATGAATTTAATGAATTAACGACATAAGGATAAAAATATTTCATAATTGACTTAAAATGACGTTAAATAATCATTTAAACATTATACCTATTGTGTAAACAACGTAAAAAGGATCTGGACACTCAACGGTCCCACAATAGCGAGCATAAAAAGCAAGTACACGACTGGTCCTCGATTTCACCTCACGAAATCGATGATCTTCTTGTAAGAGAACGGAGACGACGAGTCGCCTTCGTATGACAAGGATATTTTGTTGCCGGTCAACTCGGAGCCGAGGTCTATGGTCTGCAATAAAAAATAATTTAATTTTAAAATAACGCGTAAATTTGTAACGGAATAAGAATTCTGTAAAATTGCTATTCTACCAATTTCTTATTCAATTTTATTATTTTTCTAAATATGGCTAATAACACGTACAAAATGTGCGAATAATACGAAAAAAAATTCCAAGTCATATTGATGCACGCAGAAGATATTAAAAGCTTGATAAAAAAGGTAAAAAGCGTAAGCTTGTTCTACCTTAACAGGAAGAAATACAAACGTAATCACGATAGCAAAATTAGCAATAAATGCCAACTGAATTCATGATATTGATTGTGTAGAGTAGGAAAACCTCGGAAGCATCAAAACAACATACTTTTTAGCTCAGAACAAACCTCATAACAACATAGTTTTTAGCCCAGAAAACATTCATTTTTCGACTACTATTTTTGCCACATCATTTTCTTTTCTTTGCTAAATGCACCTAAATTTTCTGTTGCTCAATTAAAATATAAAATATTTTTTCAGTTTTTAGGTAAATTCGTCGTTACCTAATTCGTCATACAATGTAATTCATCATTACATAATTCGATGAAAGGATAATTTTAACTGAGCTGGTATGATTGCGCCGCATTTGTGCAGTTTGATATTATTTGAAAATACCTGTAAAATGGGTTCCGTGTTCACATTTCTGATGACGTGCAACTTTTCCAGCTTGGTGACATCGTTGCCAGGACGAAGAGGCTTGATGACGATGAGTGGCACGGTTTGAACGAACACAACGGGTATCTGCAGGCATATCATAAATATTCAGTATTAAAGTGCAATCAACTTGTAAATGTCAAAAATGAGTGTTGTTCGGTTTCAGACATAGAAAGGATTTTTTTCTTCTCGGAATAATATTCGGATTGGAAATTCTTCCTTTTTTTCTACCCCACTGGTAAACTAGCGAAACGATAAAATTCATAATTAATATTTTGTAAACTCATGAGTATTGATAAAATATATTTCTTTTTAACGTCAATTTGTTCCCACATAAGAACATTTGTGCCCGAGTAGAGAATAAATAAATACGTAAATAATCGTTGATATTTTGTAACCTCGTCCTGACGAGACGGTCGAATGTCGAGCTGCAAAGAAAGTCGACGGGGAAGCTGATAACTTTTATCTCCATCTTCGTCGTCACGATAAGATGCACGTCGTGACGTCCATTGTGCGCCATGTTCTTCCTCGTCTTGTTCTCGAAGACGCGCAGAGTTCACACTCCGGCCATGTACAGGTTCAGAATCACTTGATTCCTTGTAAACTTTCTCAAAAGATCCTTGCAGTTGCAGTGGCAAAGAGAGCGTCTTCTCGGTGTCTATACCCACGGCCAGCGAGCTGCCCAGCCAGGGCACCATCACACGCAGCACCGAGTTCACTTTGCTTACAAGTCTGTAGGAAAAAATATCATGTATTCCTCCACACATTAATTCCACACTCAGTCACGGTATTATCACCCGCACTTTCACTTTGCTTAGCAGTCTGTAGGAAAAAAATATATGTTCTTCTACACATTAATCTCAGCTTCACCTAGAACTCAGTCACGATCCTATCACCCGCGCTTTCACTTTGCTTAGGCGTCTGTAGGAAAAACATTTCTCTACGTTCCATCTCACATTAATCTAAGCATCATATAAAACCCAGGCACGCCATTATCATCAAAAGGAAAAAAATATGTTCACAGTGGTGAATCTCAATTGCATTTGTGGAAGATATCGCATGAAAATGAGATGGATGTTCAAAAATCCGTTTCTTTTATTTAGAATTCTGCTAACGATGAATAAGCTAAACTACACTCCATTGCTTTGTTTGTGTTGACTTCAGCAACTGGAATCAGTGATTCTTTTCATATTTATAATTAATACTATCGTTTTAACTATTCCCCTTTTCAAATCCTACTGCCATCCAAAGCACCATTGTAACTCTACAAGAAGTATTCAAAACATGAATGAGGTTGTTCACTTGATGTCTGTGTTGAGGCTGAAGTTGCCAGTGAAGGGCTGGCGGCACGAGGAGCCTGACACGGACGAGTTGGTGTACAGCACAGTGGGGCTCAGCAGCTGGGGCGAGGACATATGTATTGACATATATTATCCATACGGACATATGTATTTTTTAATATTATTCAAAAGACTTGTACTTTCTAATTGAGAAAGTAATGGACGACAAAGAGAATAAAAATAGACGTAGAATAATGCAAAAATACTTGATTATGTAGCAACTGAAGTTCTGTAGCCTCACCTCAGCCAGAACAGGCAGACCCATCTCGTTAGGCAGGAATGCTTCTACAGACGCCAGCTCCCTGAAGTGCAGCGACTGCGCAGTAAACGCATTATATATTTCAATTATATTATTGATATTCTAATATCCAATAATGTTATACGACGACCTGGTTCTGGAACAAAGAGCGATAAATTGGAGTTTTGACGATTAGAATGCAGAAGTAATGTTGAACGGTATACCTGCCGACAATCAATTTAAGCTATCAACTCCGATGTTTATGTTAGACAGGAATGTTTTAGATATAACTGACCGTTTCTCGCCTATTGGTGTTTGTGAGTCGCGACAGACTAATAGTACATTGACCGGCGACTCTAGTTTCTTCTTATGGCTTGAACAATCATTGTCAGTGCAAGAGGAGCTTGTGGATAGGATTAGTACAGTGTCACAAATCTTGAATGGTGAGTGGGTGAAAGATGTTTCTGATGTATTAACGTCAGAAGATGCAAGCGAAAGTGACACGCGATCTAGTATTTTATCAAGAATATATATCAAGTCATGTGAAAAGTGTTAGAGAGAATGTAACAAATTTTAGATTGAACAAAGACACTTGGCAACGTAGAAGTCCGTTAGAATCAAGAGTAAACGATCTGGTTATCAACGAAGCATCTGATGTGTTGTTGGAACTACCTACTGATGCGTCCTTGTATCGCAGGACTACACGTTCTCATGGTCCAGTGACCGAGTATCCTCGGGTACAACCAAGAACACTAGAGTATAAGATGTATACCCGACTGTGATGTTTTAAATTATTAGTACAAATTTATTAGAGCTTGATGTTTAGCACGATTTTTAGAAACTTAGTTTATTAATAAAAGACCTATGGAAATTATGTACATAATCCGGTTCATTCTGTATTGTAAATAGTGTAAAGATATACGTGATTCTACACAAATGCTCTTGTATTGTCTATTGATAAGGTTTTTTTCAAGTGCAATTGGGTATTGCACTTGGTGGGGGGCAATATGTAGAGGGCTAGGTTAATTATTGAGGATCAATAATGTGTATTATCTTGATGTATGGTGTATAGGAAAAGGATATATTTTAATTAGGATGTGAAAAATTGTAAGATTGTTTTAGAGAGAATCGTAGCTTTGCTGACGAGTGTCGTACGAACGGATTCATTCGGATTTTAGAGAGCGGACAGAAAGGATCCCTCTATTCGGCCTAAATATGTCTTGTTCCAGATTGTCTCGACGAACTTTGTAACCTTGCCTAATTTTATATCTGTGTTGTGGTGTTGGATTTCAAGTATATGTTGACCAGAAAGGACTTTTATTCATGACAACAGTTCATGCGAACCTGGTGGTCCCCAACATAATGGGGAGCTTGAGCTTTCCTGTGTTATTTATTTAAGCCTTGAATTTCAATATTCCTTAGAATAAAATAATATACGTTTAAAAATTACTTTTTAAAGACAACACTTCCAAAGAATCCAGTGTCTCCAATCTTACAGATGTACAATGAATTTCTCATTTAATTTTCGAATATTAAAAAATTAATTTTTCAATTATTTTAATACATAAATTTTTTTAATATATAAATTTTGCTTCAAAATTATTTATTCTATTAATTGATTCATGCATTGCCTCTGACTTCATTTCAGATCAATTAGACAAAATTTCAGATCAATTAGACAGGAAAAAGTGTGTCAAATATCAGTTATAAGATTTCTAGCTGACAAAATTATTTTTTCAATTTTTTAATATTGAAAAAAAAATTTAATTTTAAAATCATTTATTTCAACATTTGATTCATGCATTGTCTCCAACTTTACACAAGTGTGCAAAATTTCAGATCGATAGGATAAGTAGAAGTGTGTTAAATTTCGATTACAAGATTTGTAGCAGACAAACAAACAAAAAACAAGAAATGAAGTTAAAGAGAAGTGTTGTAAAATAGGAGCCTTCACTTTTACTGAATGAAATGAGTGAAACTGACTTCAAAAATGCTTGTAACCACAGAAATAAGAAGTTTTCAAAAGAGATAAACAGTTTTAAAGAAAATGAACTACCGTCTACCGTATTGTCAATATATTTGGTACAGGCCCATAACTATGTTGTAAAATATACTTCAACCCCAAAAAACATTAACCATGTTGAATATGCAAGGTAGATCATTCAGATATCTGCATTTCATGTTTCAGCCGCAAATAATAACATAAACTCGATAACAGCTTACTGCGAGACATGGACTGTACATTTTCGGAGCTGGCTTTTAAAATTATGACCTGTTGTGATTTCGATTTTGCTCATCACTAGCGAAAAGAAAAACTTTTCATTGATGGGCTACATTGATAAATGAATGTTTATCTGAATTGCGTGGTCATGAAGTAGTTTATTTACCTCGTGTACCTCACCAGTACCACACGGTCCCATCTTGTACCACAACAACTCGCACAACGGGCAAGATGAGTGTGGACCAATGCCTGCAATCAATTAACATAATTATTATTATGTAATAATAATATTATAATTGAAACAATTTGGTAACATACCACCAATTACCATTATTAATCCGAAATGTTAATTTCCTCATAAAAAACTATAATAATCTTTACAAGCGAAATTGCATAATCGCAAATCACATGTTAACCGCGACAATGGACAGAAGCCACTGACTAGAATATTATTGCCGCAATACATGAGTATTAAGGCATAAAATCACCATTTTTATTCTCAAATAAGAAATGCTATTTAGTTCTCAAAAATATAATACATTTTACATGGGAAACAATTCAGTTATGCAATCCCGATTGGCAAGTTAATGGTGACAGCGTGTAACAGCCACTAGCTGCAATATTAGAACTCTAACGAGCCTTATTATGACAAAAAACTTAGCGAACGTATAAGCAGGTAATTAAATACACAGGGTGCTTGCTAATTTAAATGAATTTAGCTCTGTAAAATCAAAACTTATTTTAAGCAATGGGTAGAAAACACCGCACCGAACTTGGCGAAGTCCACAGGCAAGAAGACCTCCGAGGTGAACAACTTCAACAGGAGCTTCATTTCCGGCGACTGCTCAGCCTCTCCATGCTTGACATGCAGTTAACAAACGATTAAAAATTATCTAAACATAAATATTTCATACTTTATGACGAGTGTTTTCACCTAATATCGGTCTCTGCAAGTCNGGTCTCTACATGTCTGGTCTCTGCATATCTGGTCTCTGCATATCTGGTCTCTGCATATCTGGTCTCTGCATATCTGCTCTCTGCATGTCCGGTCTCTGCATGTCACTCACCGACTCTGACTGATCCATGACTGACGATACGCCAGGATAGTGGTTGAAGCCCGTTGCCATCTTGAATAAAGATAAACAAGATTCAATCTTATAAAGAACAATAAAATCGAACGATCCTCATGAGACAAGCAAACGCCTTCATGCATTGAATTGTACATTGGCAAGCAATCAATCTAAATAGACTTCTAAAATATAGTCGAACCCACAAGGCAATGAAATATCAATGTATTTTCGCACCCAATTATCACCGTCCAATACGCAATACCCAACAATCCAACTGAAAAATTATGAGAAGGTTTCACATGAATGCAAAATTTCCAACATTGATCTTAATTGATGTCGTTGAAGATTTATTACAGTTTGCGTTAGGAGAGAAATTGATTCCTTAAAAGCGGACGTTGCGTGCGGCCACGAAGTTCTAATCCGACATTTAAACTTTAACTGCGCCTGTTTTATTGACAGCAAACATTCTAGAAATATTGTTCGCTCAATAGAACGGCACACTCCTCATAAATTCATAGAACTATCTTAAAAGTGAGAAATATAGGGAAAGAAAGTTCGAGAAATGTAAATCCTATAAAACGGTTAAGAATAAATGCAAAACAACCTAAATAATAGAACCAATTTGTACCTATGTTCTTCAGTGAATTATATCATTACAACAAGTCAGGTAAGAACAGACCTGCAATTAATTTAGGTAGGAATATTATTGTTGGACAGGAAAAAAATGTTATATAATAAAAAACTAAGCCGGTTTATGCGAATCCAAACAGCCGGTGAATGAATGAAGCTCATTCGGGTGAATGAATGAAGTATTATGTCGACTAGCGTTGCGCTTATAAAATAGTAAGCGGTGGAATGCCACCTCATGAAGCTTACGGCTTACTGCCAGGCAAAAGCTATTCGAGATAATTTTGCTACATACAAACACTTGGGGAAAATCGATAAAAACACGCGTCCCATCATAATATCAAACGCATGCAGAAATTTATAAAAAACTGGAAAAAAATTTCCTGTAAAAAAATCTAAATGTCAAGTTTTAACGTGTAGGCGATAGATAGATAATAAGTGATACATAGATAATATATTACATAGATAATATAGGCGAAAATAGTTCCCCCCAAACATGACGCAGAGAAAGAAAAACAAAGCAAGGACCAGAAGACATCTCACAGAATTAATAGCAAAGTGCCAACTCTCAGGACGAAGAGCTAAAAAATGGCCCTAGTTTGTGACACGGCAGGTCCGGTATGAAGATCAATGGCGAGACGCGCGACGTACAGATCGTTGCGCTCATCGAGAGGCTCGTGGCAGGCGCAAGATGAGTTAACGCTCGGGGGTTTTGCTTTAGGGAGGTTATCACATATACTTTGTTATTGTTAGCTTTGCTAACAAAAACAAAGTAGCCTTTGTTTTTTAGCTTTGTTAACAAACAAAGACTTTATTGTTAGCTTTGCTAACAAATAAGGAAGAAAACAACGAATTTTCAATGGATTCCAACAACGAATTACGTTATCATAACTAAATGACCAACTAAAAAACGAATTTTCAACGAATTCCATATGTATATAGCGGAATGGCAAAAACAAAACAATGGATTTTCAAGGAATTTCATTATTTTAAGGCAATGACAAACTAAACAAAGAATTTAAACAACGAATTCCAGCAAAGAATATAGTCATTATAACGAAATTTCAAACTAAACGCATAATTTTGAAATGATTACGTTATTATAACGAAATAATGATCAAAACTAATTTCTAACAAATTTCGTCATTATAACGAATGGACAAACAAAACGACGAAGTTCAACGAGTTCCAACAATGAATTTCGTTTTTATAACGAAGTGAGAAATAAATCGATGAATTCAATTATCTTTGTCTGAACGGCATCGTATCAATGATGCTATAATACTTTAAATACGATTAAAACGTTTAGTATTTCGTTATTTGCATATCAATCAATCCCCATTACAACTGTTGATTAGCACATCGAACAAGACTTCGCACGATAAGCGTAGCAATTTCCTGTAATTGTTAGCAAATTAGCTGCATGAAGCGCCTGTAGATCAATGCGTCGATAAAACATCAGTATTGACGCTATAAACTAGTTCCAGCAGCAGTTTATTGATAGCATTTACTAGCGCTGGCTATGATAGAGGCAATGGCTATGGCTTTCTCTGCATGCAATGACCACGTCAGCCGACTGGCTTTTGGGCGGGTCTCCAAACAACATAGTATAACGTAACATAACCTAATATAATATAATATAATATAATATAACATAATATAACGTAACATAACATAATATAACATAACAACATTGCCGTTGATTAATAAGCTAATAAGAAACAAGAAGAAATGTGGCAATAACTGCAGAAGTTTCGAATGATGATCATGTTACTGAAAACAATTATCGTTGGAATGTGGACAATGATCAGGATCACAGGTTAAAAGCGGCCTTTTCATTATATAAATCAACGTAATGCGTGGGGATTTGAATGCAACTAAAAAGCATAAAAATCGTTGCTTTGGTGCAAACCAAATTTTTATTAGCGATAGTTCATGATTAAACGTAGAATAGAATAATTAGAAAAACTGAAGCATCAATCAATTAAGATGCGTCAAGCGCCTGTAAATTGAGGACATAAAAATGAACTGCAATCTATATCATATCAGGACTGATATTTGGCACCATAACACACTTCTTTGTTTCAAGTTTAAGATTTGCATAGAAATCCCCAAAGGTGTGAAAAGCGCTAATTAAAATTATACTAAATGCCATATGGAAAAATGTCACTATTATTAAGTAATTAGAAATATATAACGCAATAGACTAAGCTGATCAAAGCAATATAATATTTTCAAAATAATATGCAGTGCCCAGCAACTTTACAAGAAAGCACAATTTCATGCGAGTAGCCTCGTTGCAGCGTTTACATTCATTTGACAGCCAACATGGCGCCAAATATAGTACGCATACTTATTTTACCTCATAAATATTATCAGTTTTTTCTGATTTCATGCTCCACCAATGTACGTTTACGATTAATTTTCGCGCTAAAAATATTAAACTAATAAAAAATACCTAGTTATTTTATTTCTTAAGAATATACTTTTCGTTTCACTTAAAACTACAATAAGGTGGGTTTTCACTTACTTTTCGCGCTAAAAATATTAAATTAATAAAAAATACCTAGTCATTTTAATTCCCATGAATATTCTTTTCGTTTCACTTGAAGCAACACTATAGCGTTTTTACTTAAGTTGCGTGTTACAAACATTATATAAACATTATATATTTGCACTCAAATTGCGTGTTAGAAACATTATAAACTTCGATAATAAAAATAATGATAATAATAAACTTGGATAATAAAAACATTCTTGGTCACCTCGAAGATGTTGAAGTCGAAGTGACCGGCTGCAGCATTGACCGCTCTGTACATCTGGCTGGCTCGCTCTGCTGGGGGAAACTTAAGCCACCCGTGGTGTCCTTCCAGCTTCAGCTGAGAAAAGACGTTATTGGCATTTAAAATTGACATTTTCTTTTCTGGTGTGAATATTCAAAATTTTAAATTAGAATTAAATTAAATTATAATTAAAATTTTCGTATCTTTCTTATTCAACAAAATCAACTTGTCGGCGATAAAGTTTATTTAACATTCACTTCAATAATATGCTTTTAAAAAGTACTTTTTGAAGACCACACTTCTAAGGAGGCAGGTGTCTCCGATGTTATACATGTACAATGAATAGGGGATAAGGACCTCAAAACAGAATTAATTGGTTATCACTGATTGACCACTTATTTGGTGATTCTGTGTATTGATTCATGCACTGTTTCCAACTTTATGCAATTGTGCAAAATTTCAGATCGATTGGACAGGTAGAAGACTAGAAGTGTGTTAAATGTCGATTATAAAATTTTTGGAACACAGCCAAACGACAAGAAGTGAAGCTAACTGGAAGTGTGATAAAAATGCTTCTTTTAAGCCCATTATTATTCACAAGAGCCTATCGGTTTACCAGTGAGACAATTCGCTAATATAAACGCAGAGAGAGTACTAAGTCAATTAATTGAAATTTAATTACATTTTCATTGAAAACGTTTAAATTTAAATTATTGCCAATTTTTTGGGGGTATTTTCTTTCCTTTGAAATTCTTAGTTTATTTTCTATCTCAGCGAATTAATGATAACCGACTGTTCGTTGCCGTACTGACACTTAAGAATAGCATCATGATATGATTATGCATTGATTTTTTCAGCTCTAATTTTTTGTCAATGCGTGCAGCGAATGCAATTAATTTCAATGTGATCCATGAAAAGACCAATATGGCTCATGCATTCACTAATTCATCATTTGAATATTAGTAATCAAACATAGAGTATAAACTGCATATCTCTCGGCGGAATTCTGCTCAACTTCGCTTTGAATTCCGAGGGTTACTTTCCTTTTAAGAAAATGTAATGGTTTAATCTACTTTTATTCGTTGACATCACGTTCTGAATTGCATTGATATGTTAACTACATGAAACAAGCTCTAACCACCACAACCACCACCACCAACGATGAACGCTATAATATTCACATTACTTAAACTTTTGTATTTTCTCACATATTTGCTACTTTTACTCGTGTCACACAATGTTTTCATTAAAATATCATATTATTTTCATTGGCATCCCCATGACCTGTTTGCCGGCATGAGCTGTCGACCACTGGAAACTAAAGGAAGACTCGAGCGGAGTCTTGATGGGGCGCGCCAGCAGCAGCGCTGACGCTGCGTACGTGCTTCTGGGTGAACAACAAATTGAATGATAAAAAATGAAATGGTTAGTCATTCATGCTTGGAAAGCAATCATTCATTTATGCTTGGCAAGCTATCATTCACTCATGCATTACAAGCAATCATTTATTTGTGCTTGGCGAGCAACCATTCATTCGTGCTTGGCAAGCAATCATTCATTCATACTTGGCAAACAATCATTCATTTATGATTGGCAAGCAATAATTCATTCATGCTTTGTAAGCAATCATTCATTAATGCTTGGCAAATAATCATTCATTCATGCTTGACAAGCAACCATTCATTTATGCTTGCCAAGCAATCGTTCATGTGTGCTTCGCAAGCAACCATTCATTCATGCTATACAACCATTCATACATTATGGCAACCAATCAAACATGTAGTTATGGCATCTAATCACTCATGAAATGATCATTACAACTGTAACAAACAATAATTTATTCAGACGTACTCTCACGTTTATCCTATGTAGCAGTAATAATAAAAGTATATATAATTTCTAATTGACTCATTATTATCTCTTCTTAAGCTTAATATATACAGCAATCATCAATTGCAGCAATTTAAACAAATTTTTTTATTATTTTCGTCGAATGCTGCCTCGAACATCGCAAGAAACTTGTTCAATTCCAAAATGAAGAGAAAGCTTGTCTAAACTCTACATTATTTTTGTGTCATGGAGAGTAATGCGGAAATGGGGTATTTTGCGTCTTCTGGAGTTCAGAACCCAGTGTGGCTTTGTTCGTGATCACTGAGCATTTACGATCGGTACGACGATTACGTAGTCCAATGTGAATTAAGGATATTACTGAAAATGAGCGTCTAAACTACCTCAACCACGCTTCCGGTAGTCGGTGAACGGAGAACAGACATTGCAGACGGCCATCGTAGAGTCATGGATAATAATTCTACCCGAGATCGCTATCTTCTATTTAGCCTTTATAGGCGAGTTATGGGCGAGTTATAGGAGAGTTATAGGTGTGTTATAGGCGTGGTCATCGTCCAATCTACTCATAAACGTCAGAGTGTCCTAATCATCTGCAGCGATCACAAGACTGGGGCGGGCTGATCAATAAAAGGATCGATAGTCTAAAAATTTCTATAAAAATTAATGCATAACTCGGTACTATGAATAATACAAATTTAAAAGGAAGATGCACCATGTAATACAGATTTCAATGTGAAATTTTGGTTACGTGTAATGTGCGAGAGTCGCACACTCTATTCCTGGAAGTCTAATCAATGAATCGAAGTTTTTTTCGTAAATATAGAAACGAAATTCACGAAATTGTACACAAAATATCAAATTTTTCTCACTTTATCTAAGAAAACTTGTGTGTGGCGCACACTTTATACGTAGCACTGGTACGCTCATACGCCTTTTCGAAATGAGTATGGATGGCCCACACAGGAGGTAGAGTGCATCATTATTTTGGATAAAGCTTCGCTTATTTCTCCGAGTGTGTTTAGCGAACTCTAATATTGATTTCTTTTCAATCAAACGATAAGTTCTGCAACTTAATTTACTTCCGATCCTAGCTAGTGACGGGAAGCTGAAGAAAGACTCAAATGAATGGATGGGTCATATTGTCCAAATTGTGAAACACTTTCTGCACGTAGCACTGATACACCATCTTACCGGGCCGAACTGAGTCAGCATGACCCACTCAGAAGTAAAAGTGCATCGCCAATGGACAAAGTTCCACTATATAATTTCTCTAAACAATAGTCACATAAACACAAGAGTAAAAGTGCATCGCTATGTAGAGTTGTAGACAAAGTCACAATAATTTCCGCGAAGGAATCATCACTCACTGAATAGGATCCATAGCAGGATTGTTGGCAACAGACTGCATGAAGCTGTAAATAAGTCTGGCCACGGGCCTGGATCTCAGAGACCAGGTGTACAGAGCCAGGTCATTCCAGTAGACTTGCTCAGGACTCCAGGCCAGCAGCACCACCAGAGAAGACTGGCGCTCCTCCTGGCCCATATGTGGGTCTATTGCATTGAGGAAGACGATGTCCATAGCCTGAGAAGGTGGGTCAAGCTGGTTCAAGATGGCAAAGTGGGTCAGGCTGGCAAGGTCGGTCAGGCTGGCAAGAATTTCCCCCATGCTGATAGTGTAATGTTACTAAAGACTTACACAACCGGCAAAGAGGAACAATGAATCAGATACTAAAATAAAATTTTTTAACCGATTGATTCAAATCGACTGTTGATTCTTCAAACAGCTATTTTGTATTCGAACATGGTTAGGTTTCTATTTTGCCATCGAAATTAGAACAAGTTATCAACTCATAAGGTACATGTACATGCGCTTGAAGTAATCGTCAATTAATTACAAACATTAACTAAGTGAATTTTTAATTGTAAAAGGATATTTTGCTATAAAAAAACACCAAAAACGGCGACAATTTCACGTCTAGACTTCAGATCATTATTTCGTAAAAAGATTCAAGACAATTATAAAATAATACTTATTGAGACAAAGAAGTAAATAAAAATCTAATTCAAGTTTTCTCGGACAAATGACAGCGACTCGTGGCCTTTGTAATTGTTAGCATTTAATGTTATCCGAACTCAAGCCTGTTTGAGCGAAGAACAAAGCTCTATCAATAATTTACCCCAGAATATCGTTATCTTACGGCAAAAATCATCGAAACCTAAAGAAAATTTTACCTAACGAAAAGAAAACAAATGGTCTGATATTCACTCAATCAATGCATTGCAGCGCTCATCTTTAAACATAAAACTATACTAAACATAGAACATAAAACTACTATACCACACACCCGCACCTTCTGTCTGTAGGATTGGTCGAGGTAGCGCGGGCTGAGCGCGTATATGGCGGTGGTGCGCGCGATGCGGTTGACGTCTGTACGTCCGATCATCGCTAGCGTCTCCGTGTTGACGTGCAGCCCGAGCGTTGCGTATGTCTGGATGAGAGTGGCGCGCGTTGTCCAGCCTCCACGTTCACTCTTCGGACAAAACAGAAAATGTTTGAGAATTTAAGATATTTTATTTACCAATTAGAATAATGATGCTATTATAATGGAATAAATAAATTCTAATTCAGCATGTATGTGGGGTAACCACTGCGCTACAGTGGCAGTCGCAAACCTATATCGTGTCGAGTAGGTAGTCGATAAAGTTCTTGACCATATGCTGCAGAGAACACTGCCGCAGTCACAAACCTTTATCCTGTCGAGCAGGTAGTCGGCGAAGTTCTCGACCATGTGCTGCAAAGGACACTGCAGCAGTCACAAACCTTTATCCTGTCGAGTAGGTAGTCGGCAAAGTTCTCGACCATGTGCTGCAGAGAACAGTGCAGCAGTCACAAACCTTTATCCTGTCGAGCAGGTAGTCGACAAAGTTTTCGACCATGTGCTGCAAAGGACACTGCAGCAGTCACAAACCTTTATCCTGTCGAGCAGGTCGTCGGCAAAGTTCTCGACCATGTGCTGCAGAGAACAGTGCAGCTGTCACAAACCTTTATCCTGTCGAGCAGGTAGTCAGCGAAGTTCTTGACGACGTAGTCCAGAGGACACTGCTGCTGGCCGTACAGCGGGTAGGGCACGGCCATGGTGGCGTTTCTGCACATCCCCTTCAGGATTTTGGCGCCGCTCACGTAGACGATGGCACCCACGATGACGTCATCCTCAAGGTCAACCGAGTGTAGGTATTGCTAGGGAATAAATAATTTTTGAAAATAATGCCACTGGGTTTGGAGAAAAAAAATACACCGCTTCAACATCACAAAAAAATGTTACCTTCAGGGAAATTGTCATGATCGTATTCTTTAATCAAACAGAAAAAATGAAAATAAATGTTATCCAAATTCATCATATTGAAGAAGATTAAAAATATGTCAAGCGTTGCGTCTCTTGATGTTCTCAATATTATTTTATTGTCGCAGCCTGCACAGCTCACGTCACCTAACCAGATGCAGAGTCCTCATCCCTCATCGCATCAAGTTTGTGATTAGAAATTTACCTCGCCCTTCGATAATCAAGCGGGCAAATAAGTAGCATTTACATCCATTAGGGATTTTACCCGCGGGCACTACCTATAACACAAACGGATGAAAACAATTCACAGCCTCACAGTGATACTTCTTTGCCGAAATGTACAGATGAATATTTTAATAGATTGTGATACAGGACACTGCTGCATGATATCAGCACACATGAATTAACAAAAGATCATAAGTTAGTCTGACGAATGTAAATTCAAAGTCACACATAGCAACGCTGGAAAGGCTTGGGTCAAGCTTCCTATTTTCAACCATCTGCTTCCAAAAAGATGCGCACACTTCTTCTCTCTAGTCCTGATTGAAGAAGGGCGGCGGCTTAAACCAAACACTTAGTCTTGCAAGCGCGGCCAAAAGCTGGCCAGCTAAATTACGAATAGTATTGATAACGCTCGAAGCACCCACGTTTAAATAGCTAATTAATCCATGATCGAATCACTAATTAATCAATATTTAAATTGTTAAATACATTAATCTCTGTTGAATCTTTATAATTAAATTATTATATATAAATCGTCAATTAATCCATGCTCAAATTTATAATAATATAAAAATAACCTAGAATAAGTTCAATAACTCACAATGAGTTGCCGGGCCAGGCTGGGGTCAGGGATGTTGGAGGCCATGGCGAGCAGCAGGGACGCGTGTTGGGTCTTGGGGACAGCAGCGGACCCGACGGACCGCATGGGCGTCAGCTGCCGCAGCACCAGCGACCCTGCCGGGCCCGACCCGCTGCTGGCGAACACCTCCAGCAACACCTGCCTGTGTACATTCTGAATAAATGAATGGGTCAAATTGTCCAAATAGTAACATTTTCTTGCCCACTGCGCGGACATTGTACCGAATCTAGCACTGATGCGTCCTTTTGCCGACCAAATTCCCCTTCAAAGGCAAAAACTGCCTTGAGTGCAGGATGACCCTGTTTGAGAATAATTGTATGTGATGGCTAAATTTATGTAACAGGTTAAGATTTGGTAGTGGACGATGCGCTAGTGAATTGTAATTAAGTATGACCTGAGGGTAATTCGGTCGTAGCTGGATCCGAGGATATAGAGGGACAGCGTAAACGATTATGTAATATACTTGCAGAGTTGCAGGATTATAGTTCGGCTTACAGTTCGGTTTACATAATGTACGACTGGCCGGGGACGACAGTTTGCGGATGGCGGTGGATGAGTGGCGCAATGGGAACGCAGGTATCGCTTTGCCCGAGGACGCGAGTTTGGGCCGGCAGAGGATGGCAGAGCTCATATAGCTACGCTAATTGACGTCACCAAGGGCGTGACTTGATAAACAGGAAAGGCTAATACAAGGAAATGCTCATGAACATATCGCATGTGAAGGATCTTATCTTTCAACAAGGAAGACATCAATCAGGAAATATCAAGGGACGAATGGTATCAACATTGTCATTTTACATTTATTGATTAAATTCAACAAAATTAGTTGAGTGTAAGAAGTGCAATGGCAGAAATTCCTTATTTGATTTGTCAGAACTTCGAAATTATTTGCGGTATAATTTTTCGAATATTTATTCTTGAATAGTATAGTATCTAATTTACCGAAAACGTGAACGCAAATGCGGCCAAAATCTAATTTCTAAAATCTTGCGTAACATGCTGGTAAATGTAGTAACATTGAAAACGTCGTAATTATAGTGAAATATTATTTCGATAACCTGCTTTTTAGTCAATATATGAAAGCGAAAAATACTCTTAGACTCGATAAAAGAAGTGAAAAAAATTAGTGCATCAATCGAACTTTTATGATAGCCATGTTATGTTATACACTCTTACAAACAGTCAAACATACAATTGCATTTTGTGATCGTACAGTTGCGGGCGTGAAGTTAATGAGGCAACAGGTGTACAGTGGGAGTGTCATTGATGGAACAGCGTTGTTAAAATGTATAAGTTTGATCATAAATATAATAAAATTCAAATAATATTACAGCGCACATGAACAATGCTGATTATGATTCGAAACTGAGCTTCGAAATGTTATTGAAAAGCTGCCACCAAACACAAACTGAAATATAAATCAAAACACAGTTCAGGGGGATATTCAGAAAAAACATATACAAACAAACTGCAACAGATACTCACACAGTAACATACACAGATACAAAAGTCACAAAAATACGAACTATTCAGCACACACAAACCATTCAGCAAATACAAACTATTCAGCAAATACAAAATATTCAGCAAGTAAAACATATTCAGCAGGTAGAACTATTCTGCAAATACAAACCATTCAGCAAATACAAACTATTCATCAAAGAAAAACTATTCAGCAAGTACAAACTATTCAGCAAATACAAACGCCACTACACATACACAGCCCCGAACATCACCAACACAGCACAAACGGACGCTGCAGGAGATGCTAACGTCTCGCTGAACATCTATGGAGGCTTCACTGCAATCCTGTAGGATGTTGAAGCTTGTGTGCCTCACTCACAGCGACTTTAATCCCTTTAATTACTGAGGAATTTACTTCAATATATCAAAGTTCATCAAGGTTCGACAGTTGTATCATTTCGTAGGAGTAAAGTTGAATAATAACGTTTTATAAGTATTATTATCCCGTTAATGTTTCAACTACAGTATATATTATTCAGGGTACTGCAAAGACTGACCGACATTCTCGCTGATCAGAAGTTAAAAATTATTTGCTTTAATGTATCAAAATTGTGCTCCTAGTATCTAACCCAAATTAATCATCATTACAATCATCTTTAATTCTTCGTCGTATTCGTCTTAAATCTTGTAGTATTCTTATAATTTCATACTAATTATTTTATTTATGTTAATATTTTTTCTTGAAAACAGAACTTCAAGCCAAGTACCAATCAAACATCCTTCCAATAATGTGAAACATTTTGTGCGAAAACGTAGTATACATAAACTTTCAAGTTTACTCTTTTATCTATGCTAATATAATGTCCTGAAAACGTAACGTCGAAAAAAATTCTTTATCTTCTCATCTCGACAGACGTTTAAAACAACCAAAAAACTCCGTCTTGATCTATTCAAAAACTCAACCAAAAACACGCAGAAATTTACTCGCGTCAGGAGCCCAACACTACGCAAGTAAGCGCATAATTGAGGCCACTTAGCCAAGAAGATGTCAGGACTTACAACGCGTCCCGCGGTGGCACCTTCTAGTCCCACCTCAGTGGGGACATTTTACAGCCTCCAAGTTTCTTTATCTGAGTCCCGACCACCTCCCTGAATATTTTCAGTGATATTTGCTATGCAAATGAATCTCGGTGCTCGGGAAAATTGTTTCCATGATAGAAATTTGGTGGTTTAAATTGTTGGCGCCTCCTGATGAAAGGCTATTGTTCTTTATCATGCCTCGTCTCGCGAGCTTCAAATGATCTATTAGTACAGCACCAAATACCCATTTTAAGTCAGTTCATTGCTTAAAATTGTCGTTTTTGCATAGTCACGTAATGAATTTATATTGCTTGTTTCTTTGAGGTGATCCCATCAATAGGTTATCAATTTTTTTTACATTTTACCGATATTTACCAACACCTAAGTACATATATAATGAAAAATTATTTTTAATTTATAAAAAACGTATATATTACGCTGTGCATTACTATCTAAAGAAAACATGTATAAATAACTTGATTTAGTTTTAATTAAAGGCAACTTTTTTTCGTCTGATTTCGTTTTCGATTAAAGTAAAAAAAGTAGAGCGGAGATATACATAGTATTTACAATAATTTAGTTAACATTACAACTTTTTGGCTTGAGCGATATATTTCTGTTGGTGACGCTAAAAATATTACTTTCAGTTTTTCATAATTTATTGGAAAAAAATTTCAAGGAATATGGTCATTTTAAACTTTAATGTCAATGATCCAAAACCTTTGGTTAAATTTCTTTCTGATAGACTAATCAATTTTCAAGAGTAATGGTGGGAGAAACGCTCTAATTTAAGCCATAAATATTCTCGATGAGAACATTTATCTAAGGTAAATTATCTAAACCCCTAATTTACTGGAAATCCCCCAATTGAACGTGCCACTTAACACGGTTTTCAAATTGGGCAACGGGTCAAAAACGTTCCGGAACCACAGCCTCGGAGAGATGTACTGTAACTCTAGCATAACTCACTATAGAGAGATATAACTCTAGCATAACTCACTATAGAGAGATATAATGATGATAATAATAATAATAATAATAATAATAATAATAATAATAATAATAATAATAATAATAATAATAATAATAATAATAAAATCTACGCAGAGAAGCGTAAATTCTCAAACCTTTGCCAAGAGCACAAAAACAATTAGAAATGATTCTAAGCAAAAAGCAGCCTATAACCGCTCACCAGACGCCGCACTTGCCGAAGAGAGTGTCTTCGGTTAACTGAACCTGACCAGGGACTCGGATGAGTGATGCTTGCTTGTCCGCTTGATGGAGGTTAAAGTTCTGATTCTCGTTGAACTTCTCGAGGGCAGGGACCAAGTAATTGTGGATGTTATTGATTAAACTTTTTCTGAAGTTGATCATCCACAGCAAGTCATCCATTGGAACCTCCAGTCGAAAGTTCTGCTCAAAATGAACGATGGCAAGATCTCAAAATTTTTTGCCATAACAAGTCAAAATTTTTTAATTACAGTAATGTTTTAGTAATAATAATAATTTTAAGTGCAGTTGTCTAATGTCTAAAGAGACAATATATCGGCGCACATAATGTAATTTTGACGCAATAATATACTGTAGTGTTCACGCTCTTCACATCATAGCTGTTATTGGGATAAACATTTCCGAGAGATGGTAGTCGTCAAGTAATATGTAAGGAATAAGCTAATATTATCTTTAGATCACCTTTAAAATTATTATAGCAAAAGCATTTATATAATGGGCACACTTTCTGTAAGATATTTTTTGGCTCAGTGAAAAATTAAAAACAAAGAATATAGGGCAAATAATTCAATAGTATATAGGGCCCAAACTGTTGTTCTTAATGACACTCATAAATCTTACTAATATTATGTGCATACAGAAATTCATCGAACATTTGTACTAAGTTAAAGCCATAATGATACTAACGTTCGGGCTGTCTCTCTCTGAGAAGGAGAAGAAGAAAGGCTTCTCCAGCTGCTTGGAGATATTAACGGGCAAGCTCTTGTACTGCACCGGCAACTTCGCTGCTCCGTTGCACGCAACTTCTCCTAAATGCTCTCCAGCTTCCAGCTCCGACAACTGCAGAGCAACGCTAGGGTTATGTTCCAATAACTTCCAGCTCCGACAACTGCAAAGCAACGCTAGGGTTATGTTCCAATAACTTCCAGCTCCGACAACTGCAAAGCAACGCTAGGGCTGTCTCTTATACACATCTAGATGTGTATAAGAGACAGACTCACTATAGAGAGATATAACTCTAGCATAACTCACTATAGAGAGATATAACTCTAGCATAACTCACTTCTCATCCTCCGCAACCTCGCGCCAGAGTTGCTGCAGAGCAGTAACTGGCAGAGCTGCAGCAAGTCTTGCAGCAGCGTGCAGCTGTGCAGCAGCCTCGCCTGCAGAGCTGCCGTTTACAGCTGTTTGTTCTGTTGCTGCAGACACCGTCGTGGGACTGCGCAGCTTCTCCATGCTACTTTTCACATGATTTTTCAGGTCTTGCTGCTCAATTTACAATTTTTCGATTTTAAATTGATTGTCTTAACAACTTTTTAGGAAAAATTGTTTCGAATGAATTTTATTTTGTTACAGGAGAAGGAGCTTACAAATATACTTTGGCAAATAATTTTGACATTTTGCAGTTTCAGTTGAATAGAAACCTTTATCCAGCCAATAGACGTTCAGATCTAGTCTAAAAATTTTTGTACGAGATTTATTTAGTGATTCATGACAATAATAAGCTCGAAATCACCATTATCCTATTTACTATTTATATCATACCATATCATTTAATAAGATATTAATAAAATTTAGAATTTAATAAAAACTTGTTATGACTTGACCGCGAATGATATTTCATATGTAAAAACTATTAAATATTATTCCATTAGAGTAATGAGGTTTATATTACCATTTTATTCTCACCTAATACTGGCGTACAGTAGGAGTGGCTGAGGATACTTGAACATCTCACCTGATACTTGCGTAGCAGTTGCTCAGGATACTTGAACATCTCACCTGATACTTGCGTAGTAGTTGCTCAGGATACTTGAACATCTCACCTGATACTTGCGTAGCAGTTGCTCAGGATACTTGAACATCTCACCTGATACTTGCGTAGCAGTTGCTCAGGAACTCTGTTGCCTGTGAGAGCTTCCTCCCAATACACAGACTGGATGCCTTGTGCGGTGAACTGAATGTATGGAGAGTCCAATACAAATAGATTCATGTACCCGAAAGAAAAATTCTTTATATCAAATTGTTTCATGAATTATCGTCGTACAATTCATTAAAAGTGCTACCGATTGTGTTTTCGATAAGGAAGTTTTTTCATTAATATCCTATTGATGGGAAGTTACTAGGTGGTTAATATGTCATTCCATACAGTAAAAATTTATTATTTAATAGACAATTATCCGTTTAGTTCATAGTTACATATACTGAGGAGTAGATGATCCAACCCTTGACGCATTTAAAAGTGAATTAGTGATTTTACATCGAAAATACAAGGCGTGTTGAATGTTACATTCCTAGAAGGTGAATAATCCAAAGCTCCAAAATCATTAATAAATAACTAGCTACACAAAAATGAAAAACGATATAACGGTTACTTCTTCTGGTATTTATATTATTTATTTTCAAACCTCAAGAATCATTCAAGCGTGTACATCATTAATCATAAAGCGAATGAAGAGTCTCGAAATGCCTTTATGCGTTCTTAAACCTTTACCTTACTTGTAATAATTGTGCATTCGAAAAGTCGTAATATTACTTCTAAATATCAATGGGAAACTTCTTAGTTTAACTTTCAAGTCCTATAAAAATTCAAATCCGCTAAATTAAGAAGATCAGTAATAAAATTGGTATTATCAATTACTATTTAGTCTTCAACAAAACATGCGTCAGAATTAGACTTCTGCTTATAGCTATCCAATTCCTACCGGAGTGTACTTCAATTTATTAATGTACTTCAATACTTCAACCACTCTGCTTCAGACTTCAACTTCTGCCTAGCAATTCGCGTTCTTACTGGAGCGTACTTCAATTTATTTCAATGTACTTCAATGGTTGTACTTCAACACTTCAACCACCCTGCTTCAGATTTCAACTTCTGCCTAGCTATCCCAATTCTTACCAGAATATACTTCAATTTATTTAAATGTACCCCAATGGTTGTACTTCAATACTTTACCCACCCTGCTTCAGACTTCAATTCAGCTTAGCTATCCTAATTCATACCCTTCATAAATTTAGTGTTAATTCATAACTTGAGTGTACTTCAAATTTATTTCAATATACTTCTATGGGTGTACTCCAATATTTCAACCAACCCTGCGTCAGACATCAACTTCTGCCAAGCTATCCTAATTCTTACCGGAGTTTACGATAATTTATTTCAATGTACTTCTATGGTTATACTCCAATACTTCAACAAACCCTGCGTCAGACTTCGACTTCTGCCTAGCTATTCCAATTACTACCGAAGTGTACCTCAATTTATTATTATAAGATGGCAGAAATTTCTTGATTATATGAGTACAATTTATGACCAGAGAGTGCACTTGAATTTTCAAGGAAATGAACAATTCTTAGATGACGTTGGTAGATCAAAAGGCAGATTTAGCAAATAATAATATATTAACGACGTTTCGAATGTAGCAAGATTCATTTTCAAGTTAAGAGAAGCATTGAATAGTGAAATTTGGTTGGACATATAAGTACATAATACACGTAAATAGGATACAACAGAAAAATTTCAAGCCAGAAAGTCCTTACGCAAACAATCTCAAATTTTATTTTAGACAAATCCGGTAGCTTGGAAATCGATAGCTGGGGTCCAATTCAAAATTAAGACGGTTCCAGCAATCTAAATTTCACTATTCAATGCTTCTCTTAACTTGAAAATGAATGTTGCTACATTCGAAACGTCGTTAATATATTATTATTTGCTAAATCTGCCTTTTGATCTACCAACGTCATCTAAGAATTGTTCCACTCCTTGAAAATTCAAATGCACTCTCTGGTCATAAATTGTACGCATATACTCAATTTATTAATGTACTTCAATGGTTGTACTTCAATTCTTCAACCACCCTACTTCAGATTTCAATTTCTGTCAAAATATCCCAATTCCTACCGGAGTGTACATGATCCAGTCCTCAGGATCCTTCGCTGGCTCAGGATAGGGAGAGAGCACCTCGTGCTTGAGGGTGTGGAACACGCGAAGGAGTCCGTGCGGTTGCAGGACGCGCTCTACGTGCACCACCGAATCCAGCAGCAGCGTCTGAAATGCAATTTTTTATATTAAGGATTTATAAATGACGTCCGTAACATCATAGTTCATCGATACAAAAACACCGCCACGATTCGTGCACCGGTATCTAAAAGTTTCAGTTTTATACAGTAATTATACAGAAATTACGTCGGAGTAGCATAATTTGTTTAATAAAACATCTGCTGCAAGGTTAATACAGAAGTAGGTAAGTTATCACCGATCACCACTGCAATTATTCGCATTAATTGTTCATCAATTAATTCATTAACGATCTCTAATTCTTTACTTACTTCAAGTACTGGTAAAGTGAATTTCCATTATTAAATAGAGGCACGCATATAAAATAATATTCAATCGCGGTGGCAAAAAAGTAATATTAATTATAAGGGTATATATTATTGAACCATCGCTGATATTGCACGTCAGAAAATATGCGTCGAATACAATATTTAATTAACGTCGCTTTAATCCTCGGAATTATTTGTAGATTAATATCAAACAATCTGCAAAGTAAGTCTTTTCTAGAAAGAAAAAACTGCACCCTAATTTTTTTAATGGCAACCATACATATGTCAAAACGCAAGTACACATAAAACAGCAAACAAACATAATACAAACCGCAACCACACCCACCTGGTTAGTGAGCATCTGGAGCTGATCAGTTTTGTAGCCGTAAGGATTGTAGGATAAGAAGCCCTGAACGCTGACGTGCTCAACCCTGTAGCGGGTAAGCGGGTTGCCCCGCACGTAGTAAGTATACGTGCTCTGCCTCTGCAAGCCCCGACCCATGCTCGGCTTGCCGAAATCCGTGAAATTCGAAAACGCTGATCTAATAAGACGAGGCTGCTTGATGCAATCATCGTGGTCGATGACACGTGTGAGTTTCATGATCTTATCAGACGAGAAAGAGGAAACGCGGCGGCCGTGCGGTGATTTACGTCCTTGGTATCGCGAGCTTTGCATGTCGTGAACTAGACGAGTTTTGCGGACTGCCTCGAGCGATGCTTCATCCGCGGACTCAATAATGTACCTGTCAATAAGTCGGATGAATGTTGGTTTCTTATATATAATCATATAATAATAAAGACCCTTCCAACTAAACCATTCAATTTGCTAGGCAAATATTTTCAAGCATTATACCAAAATTTATTTATCAATTTAAAGAATATATTAAGAGCAAGTTTTGGAGCCGGCAGTTCAATGTGCTGCCATCGAAGGGTGTATTTTATAGCTCAATCTGTAAATTCTATATTTTTTAGTAATATAACAGAAGCANGTTATGTTCCAATAACTTCCAGCTCCGACAACTGCAAAGCAACGCTAGGGTTATGTTGCTATAACTTCCAGCTCCGACAACTGCAAAGCAACGCTAGGGTTATGTTGCTATAACTTCCAGCTCCGACAACTGCAAAGCAACGCTAGGGTTATGTTCCAATAACTTCCAGCTCCGACAACTGCAAAGCAACGCTAGGGTTATGTTCCAATAACTTCCAGCTCCGACAACTGCAAAGCAGCGATAGGGTTATGTTTCAACGATTTACAATGGCAATTGACTTCTAAAACTATGGAGAAAATGTTGAATAGTAGGGAGTTTCGAAAAATTCTAAATCACTGTATTGGATTTAACGAAATATAATTAAATTCATTTAAAGGTCATTTATATAATTTTATAAATGGAAAAGTGAAAACAAAGTTAACCGTGACAGCAAAACGCTGATGTTCTCAAGTATACGCCAATTTTGTGATAAACATTACAACATTTGGAAGTCACATTGTGTATTCAATCACATTTATACTCAATCGCATTATGTAATTTACATAATCAATTCACATTTTCATCCTCTAAACATGTATTATACAATACATTATTGCATCACATGACACAATATGTCATCACATGGCATGATGCGACATAAATTGACAACATCTTATATTATTTGACATCATATTGCATTGCCATTGCATAATATGATATGGCGTCACATGGCATCATATGGCATCACATGGCCACCTGCATGCCGATGTTTTGGCTATTAGTTTTCTGCAGCGTTAACACGCCACGGATGGCGGCGCCCGCCACATTCCCGCCCGCCGTGGCGTGGCCGCGGCCACCAACGCCGCCAAGGTCCACCGCCACACGAGCCTCAAAGCGGTGGCGGTACTCCAATGCCTCGTCCAAACCCTGCGCCTCCAGCCCGTAACTCCTGCCTGGTATAGAACTCCAGCCTTAAGGGGTATAAATGTGTTTAAAACTCCAGCGTTAACAGGGCATAAAACTCCAGCCTTAAAGAGGTATAAATGTGTATTAAACTCCAGCCTTAAAGAGGTATAAATGTGTATTAAACTCCAGCCTTAAAGAGGTATAAATGTGTATTACACTCCAGCCTTAACGGGGCATAAAACTCCAGGCTTAACAGGGCATCCAACACCGGCTATACATAGTTATCATTATGGTTTATTAAGTAACTTGATATAATGAATAATTTGTGGATTAAATAATTTACTTTAAGATTGGATTGAATTAAACCCAAAAGAAAGTATTCACTAAAAATTAATTAAAGAAAAATTAATCTAAAAGAAATAAAAATTTATTAATATCTTAGTGTCCTGATAGTGAATCTTAAAGCTGAATGGATAGACTTGTCAGTATTTGAACTGAACATTTTTTTGCAATATCAATTCCGTCGTTGAGTTTCAGCATTGTTATCAACATCCCGAGTAAAAGAAATTTAAATTCGGAACTGCATTATCAAAACAGAGCATAATCATCCGAACACGGCATTACGGCATGAAATCGCATTCATCATCACAGCTAGGCGCTATTTTTGCAGTCTTTGCTGCAACTCCATAACCGTCTGAACGGGTTTAATTTACGGCCAATTTTGCAGCGGGTGCAGCTCTTGGCTTGTTATTGTGAGCAGCGTGGGCCCTTTTCCGGCCAAAATTCGACGATCTGGGCCTTTTTTCAATTTGTCAGATAAAAATCTTTGAAAGATTGAAACGTATCATACTTTTCGTTAAATGAAACATGAATTCAGCTTATTTTAAACATGGAAAATTCAATTCATAGATTGCGAATCGCAAATTCACTAAAAAATTTCTTTTAATGCCTTTTTGGGCCTTTCTAGTGAGTTGATTGGGCCGTTTTCTCTTGCCAGCATCTGGCAACCCTGGTGTTGTAAGCGTCGCTTCATTGCGAAGCGACTGAGTTAGTGGAGCTCGTTATGCCGTGAAGCCAACGAGCTGCAATTACGAACACGTCACGTGAGTTATGATCCAAACCTTTGCTGAAAAGTGCGCCTCTTTGGCTCAACATAATCTTTAATTAACGATGCATTTTGTCTTGCATTTTTCATTTGTCTCTATCGTTTGTCTTTTTCATTTGCCTCTTTCAGTTGTATCTTTCATTTGTCTCTTTCACTTGTCTCTATCGTTTGTCTCTTTCAGTAGTCTTCTTGTCACTCTCATTTTTATTTATTTTCATTTAGATTTTCGTTTATTTCGAACGCGTCTAAACCTTTCACAGAAAGTAAACCCAAATATCCATTTTTTTTGTTCAACATAATCTTTAATTAGCGAAGCATTTCCGTATTTTTCCAACAGGGACTTGTTACTCAGGGGGAAATTTATGTGACAGTAGAGCTTATGCGAGGATTTATACTCGGAACAAAGCAAAGTAAAAAGAAAATTTTATCTAACTGACTATTCAAAATTTCTAAATAATTCCTGGGTCTCGTTTAGAAGAACTATATACTTTCCAGCCTCAGTTAATCTAAAATGAAAAAATAATTGCTCGTTTCATAATGTGAGCCAATTGCGTTCCATTACCGGTACAAATTTCGAGAGCAGCAGCAGTTTTTAGGTCCATCCTCCATTGCAGAACACGAAATTCTAAGATCTCAGATCTCACGACGTATTATCACGCATCGTTTTACATTTATAAAGATGCAAGTCTCACGCAGTCTTAGAGTTCAATGTTCCTACAATTTTCGGTCATCGGTGCCATTATGCGCATGTGACACAGCTTGAATTTATTTGACATCATTCCTCGTTTTTTAAACATAAAGTGCGGCCCTTCGCCGAAATTGCATCTTCTCTAAGTCTTCTCGAGGGAACACTGCAGTTTTGGAGCGCTCGATAGCTTTTTCTTGTAGCTCTACTAACGGTCTAACTTTTCTTTAGAACACATCGGACGTTTTTTGAGACGTGGCTGCCGTTAAAAGCAAATTAGTTTGCAAACTTGCGCGAACTACGTGGTTTGGTGGCATGATTCTCGAATTTCTAACAGCGTTGATTTACACGAGTTTCTCAAGGACCCGCGGTTAAGTTATCGTATCGGAGTAATTAAAAATCAGTATTATTGTCCAAGAAGAGTTTAATTCTTGAAGTCCAAGAGAACGGCTTTAGTAATATTTGAACATAGTAATATTTGAACATATGCTGTGCAGGAACTCGACATTTTTTCTTGTTCTAAAATCTAAATGGAGAAGAATTGGTGTGCCAATCTAAGCTTCATGTCGGACGCGCTCGCAACTTGGGATAGATATATTGTTCTTTGTTTAAGGCAAAGTTTTCAGGAAAGTTTCTAATGTTCCTAATGTTTTTACCGGTACTTAGAGATGCTCAGCGTTAATACTTTAAAATAGAGCCAAAAGCTCCAACTCTCGGTGTACAAGTTAATAGATGATCATATAACAACTCTGCTTATTTCTTGTTGTAATGGTCAATTGTACTCAAGCCTTGTACCGTCTCAGCTCTTTATTGAGTAACTCATCACTATTATATCGACTCATCACTATTAAATCAGCTCATCACTATTATATCAATCCATAACTATTATATAAATTCATAGCTATTATATCAGCTCATCACTGTTATATCAACTCATCACTATCATATCAACATCAAGCAAGTTTTACAATTGTTCACAAGGAATTAGAGATACATAATTTTTTTGATGCAAATATATTTTGAATACGCACTCAAATAGCTGCTGCATATTTCAATTATAGATTCACACTCACAAACAAAGTCACGAAGGTGATTACGATTTGCTAATGGTAGAGAGTGACGTAAGGGTAAGAGGGATGGTACTGATACCATGGATGAGGGATGCAATGGGATGAGGGATGGTACTGATACCATGGATGAGGGATGCAATGGTAAGAGGGATGGTACTGATACCATGGATGAGGGATGCAAGGGTAAGAGGAATGGTACTGATACCATGGATGCGGGATGCAAGGGTAAGAGGGATGGTGCTGATACCATGGATGAGGGATGAAGGGTAAGAGGAATGGTACTGAAACCATGGATGAGGGATGCAATGGTAAGAGTGATGTATATAAACGCTGATATTACGGCTCACCGAGAGAGCAGAGCAGGAACGAGCTGAGCAGAAGCCACCACTGCATTTTCCCGGTAGCTGTTGAGCCAAAATATCGACTTGTGCTTCACCGAACCGCTTGCTAATCTCATCTACTACTGGCTTCTGGAAGTGAAAAAAAAATATTATTCTAATGATATCTGCACAGTGCTAACGTATTTCAGGAGTTCAACACTTACATGCAGCTGAAATGTATTGCACCATAAACTTGCAACACGTGTTTAAGTGGAACGACATATTAGACTACTTTGTTAAAAGCCGAAATTATTTTTGCTGCTTCATAGTCAGTAAGTGGACTGAATTATATAATGTAATTCTCGATTTTTACCAATCGTCCCACTCTTCAAGCATGTTGAAACATGATTTTTATGTCACTGGTCATATGACGATATGAACGTATAGGCCATCTCATTCAAATTATCAGGTACCACACAAAAAACTGGCAGTCAGAAGACTGCTTAAATGTTTATAAATTCACCGCAATTGGTACGTTGATCTATTCTTATACAGTTTCTTCGCCCGTTTTGTTGGTCTCAATCCAATACTTCGTCAGATGTTGGCTTCATGATGCCGTCTTAACATAACAACTATCCTGAATATTTGATCTTATGTTCAAATATTTTGATGACAGGATATTTT